CTGGGTACCAATGGCCTAATTGTGTACAAAGCAAAGAGGATAAAAAGCAAGAGAGGAGCGTAAAAGGCATTTGGGCGAATGTAGCGGGGGAAGGGCGTCTAAAAACGAGAAAGGTGCTGAAGTCAAGGGGGGACAAGGACCAATAACAAGACAAACGATGTAAGTTGGCAGTGCTGTACTCGCTCTGGCCCAGTACGTCGGATTCGGCTGGGCAGAGTCATTGGCCGAAGCATCCTGCAATTCCCGCGCCCATTTCCCCCCGCCTCATGTTGGGCGAATCACATCCCACCTTGGGGGGCCTTGGTTTAGGAATGACCCACGGATCCGCAATGAGATGTCGCTATCCCCGTCCAAGGCGTGGTAGCCTCCTCCTCCGTCTACGAAATCCGCCTCATAGTGTTCCTCTGCGGCGTTTCCCGCGGCGGACACAAACACAGCGCCACCCGCGACCGCGTCGGCTGCCGCCAATGCTACCGGACCGTCTTCGAAGAAGGATTCTCCATAGTATCCGATGTCGTCGACGATGATATCGGCGCCCTCACCACCAAAGGCATCGTTGGCCAGCCAGAGAATCGCTTCCACGAAGTACAGCGATGAGCCTGCGCTCGAAAATGCCAGCTGGGCGTCGGGGGCCAGGTCGTGGATGATTTCGTGGAGCGCCGTACCCTCGTCGCCAGACCTGATAATGTTCGGGTTGATCTGCACGTTGCTCGGAAGGTCGCCGCGGGCCCGGGCGCTGTTCCAAGAATCCACGCCGTGGGAGATGACGCCTACCCGCGACTCCGCGCGCCAGCCGATGCTGTGACAAGTGGCGTTACCGCCGTCGGCGACGGTGGATGGCGTTCGCTCGGGGTGACGCGACCCTTCCTTCGTTACGCCATAGTCCGGGGGTGTGATCTTCTGCACCGCGTCCAGTGACGCAATCTGGTCCAGGGCCTCGACGGGCGCCCAGGCCTGCAGCTTTTTCCAGTCCGAGTTGACGATCTCGATGCGGCGCCCAGGTCCCTGAGTTGTTGCAGGGTCTCCTCGTCGGTGTTATCCAAGTGGATGTAGACCTGCAGGTTGCCCGAGGAGTCGAACCGCACGGGATCGTCTGCTGTTTCCGTAGATGCGGGATCCTCTGCACTGGATGCGGACTTATCGATCGAGTCCCCGGACTGGCTTCGAGAGGAGACCACGCCGGAAGGTTGCTGAGGGACGGCGGGACTGGCTTTCGGCGCCCTGCCGTTGTTCGATGAACCGCGTGAGCAGCGGGCTGACCTGCAAATCAACCTTGCCATAGGCAGCCGGAGGCTCATCGCCAAGCGCGGTAGTGCCGGCAGCAGCGAACCAGATGAGAAGGAGCAGAAGAAGCGCCGGAATTCTCATTGGGGTGAAGGGGATGGAATGCGAAATCCGTCAGGATTGCGACCCATATCATAGGGCAAGGAGGGCGCGAGGAGAGCATGCCGTCGATGAAGATGCAGTGAAGGTTTTGGCGTAGATGTGGTGAATCTATGGACTTAGAAACAATCTCAAAACTTGCTACGGCCCTCAAACCGTCATTCCCGCGAAAGCGGGAATCCAGTGGCACTTGCTGGTAACTGCTCTATGCCATCAGAGCATGATCGTTTTGAGGCAGTTTCCAAGCACCCGCTCACAGGAATAAGGCCGCGTCTGTAGCCCGGTGATGGCATGAGGAACAGGAGAGGCCGGTCGATGACCTGCTCGATAGGCTCGGCCTCGACACTCCCCGTCGGGGTGCCCGTAGCAAAAGGCGGGGCAAAGGTTCGTTTACCGGCCCATCGCGGGAACTTCCCGTTCGCTACGGTCTGGCGGTTGGGAGTGGAGGCCGGTGGCCGCAGGGTGGCCGAACGCGGTGGACCAGCCCGCCGTGCAGTAGATGGCATCGGGCGGGTCAAGGTCCCAGGTACGATGCTCCGTTTAGTTGGGGACTCAGTCGTTAATGCGGCCCCCGAGTTCTCCGGATGGTACCGGAAGTCGACAGGCTGTGCATCGCCGGGTTGCCTTTGTCGATAGCGTCGATGACCTCGTTGGTGGGCCCGGAGGGACTTGTACCTGCCTCTTCTCCGGGGGGGCCGGTCTCATCGTCTCCCACTGCCCGGTTATGCAGGAGACTTGCGACGAATCGGTCGTCTTTTCACTCCTGCAGATACGCTGCGTCTGTCTTTCCACGGCTGGGCCGCTGTTCGGCGTCGGTGGACTGCTCTCTGGCATGGCTATTCATTCTCGAGGTATCCGCTTCGGCAGTTGCGTACGCTCTGACCAGGATCCTTGGCCCTGCGATTTCCGGGTCCAGCGAGATTCGTTCCTCGTTCTGGCCGGTGGCCCAGCCGCGCCTGAAGATCGACAATTGGAAAGTGAGCGCTTGGGAGCCCACGACCGTCTCCACCACGCGCTTGCGTTCATCCTCGGGAATATCCGGCCAGCCGTCCTGGGCGCGCCTGCGGGCCGCCTCCTTGATCACTGCTATCTGGGTCTCCTCGTCCGCCTCCTGGTCCAGCCGCAGGTCGGCGACCGGCCTCTGCTGACGTTCCAGCTTTTCCGTGTCGGTTTCGTGTCGGTCCATCTTCTTTCTCACGCTGTTGTGGTTGGCCCTCTTCCCTTGCCCCTTGGGCTCATTGGATGCGTACTGTCCGTTCTCCGGGAACCCCAATGCCCCGGTTTCCGTATTCGCCTTGGGTCTATGGCATCCAGCAACTGATACGGGCGCTGTTGCTCATTGCCCCGGCGCCAGTCTCGGTGTTGATACGACTGGAAGCCTGCACTTGCGACTATCTGCTACCGTCGTCACGTCACATTTTCAGGGAAGTCCTGGGGAGGTTTGTAGCCATCTGATCGTTGTCGAGGCTCCCTGAGGGATCCACTCGCCTGTCACTTCTTTCTGGCTCGCGGCTGGCCAGTGATACGGTGATAACATCATGCCGACAAGATGCTGTGCGCTGGGTGGCGCCAGCCTCAATCATAAGGTCGAGTGGGCGCGCTGCCAACTCCGCGGAGATGGTGGACGCGGGCAGTGCCAGCGCTGACTGCGGGGCGTTGGGGCTCGCAGCCGGATTGACGCCTCTGATCTCGCTTGAGTCGTGGGAAATGTGCCAATTCCTTCCGTTCGTCATCTGGGCCTCGACACCCTTTTGCACCGTTCGCGGGCCGACTTTCGACATCAGGTCGGTGTGCCGGCTTGAACGGTTCTCCTCGTGCGTACTGCAGCCTTCGTCCACCAGGCCAAGCACCGGCGCGGTTGCAGGGGTGGCCTTCACTCGGCCCTGGCGCGCTCCCTGCCCACCATTGTCCGATCGCTGGTGGGACCGGCGAGGTGGGTCCCGGTGGCCATAGTCCTCCGGCGGAAGTGCTGCGGGGCGATGTTGTCGCCGGTGGACTCGATACATTCATTGATGGCGACGATGCCGATGCTCCAGTGTATAGGTAGGCCCGCCTGCATTTTCGAACCACCGTCGAAGTTTCTGAATAAACCGGCCCACTCGGGCTGCGACAGTTGTGTGAGCAGAGCAGGTCAAGCCTCAGCTGCTGTGAGAAGCTTGCGGCCAATTCTATCCGGCTACAGCTACCGCCGACGATCTCAAAGGCGATTTCACTTCGTCGAAGCCAAGTTGGTGAATGTTACGTCTTTGGGAGGGGAGGCACTCATGAACCCGTCAGGGCAAATCGAGGTTCCGCAGCCTTGGTGGATTGAAGATTTGTGGAGAATGCTGGCCCGGTTGTACAGGGATTTCGGGTGGGCCAGTCGTTAGATCAAGCTGAACGAATAACTCAATTCAGTTCTGTATGCCAGAAGCTGCTTCTTTGTGGCATTGTTGCGTCTTGGGTTTACCCGTCATCATGAGGTGCCCCCTTCAATCGCACCACAGTCGACGCTGAGCCGCCCGCCCACCGGGGAGCTCACCGCCAGTAATTTTGGGACAATGAATCAGCTTTTAGTGGTCACAACAGGGTGCCCTGAAGTATGCGGTGTACACGTCGGCCACCCAGGAGCCTGGGTCTTTTAGTTGTCGACAAACCCGTTGGTCCTGAGCCTGTCGAAGGGCCGTCCGTTCATGGTTCGACGAGCTCACCACGAACGGAATCGCAGGGTTGCCATAGAAAACTAAAAGACCCTGACCCAGGAGCCATCACCCTGTACTTCGTAGGATAATGAATCACCGCTTTTCCACTCGGGCATTCTCCCCGTGGCACGAACTCTCCTGCCATTGACGTTCGCATCCGAGTAGCCCATTCGTCGGCGCGAGCGGCCTTGGCTCCGCCTCTGGCACCACGCCTAAATGACGCCAGGCCCGGCGCCGTCACTCCCGGCGCCTGGAAATCACACTTCGAGAATGACGGCTCATGATTGCGCCAGAGCCATGCACGAAATGTTACTATACTGTCGAGGTGATTAGATTTGTACGATTGCCATAACAACGACATCCGTAACCTTGCCATTATTGCCCACGTCGACCATGGGAAGACCACCCTAGTCGACGCGCTGCTGAAACAGGGCAAGGTCTTTCATGCGCACCAGCAGGTGGGCTCACTGATCATGGACACCAACCCGCTGGAGCGGGAGCGCGGCATCACCATCCTGGCCAAGAACGCCTCGGTCTCCTACGGCGACGTCAGGATAAACGTCATAGATACGCCGGGCCACGCCGATTTCAGCGGCGAGGTGGAGCGCGTAATGAACATGGCCGACGGGTGCCTGCTGCTGGTCGACGCCGTGGACGGGCCCATGCCCCAGACCACTTACGTGTTGCGACAGGCTCTGCGTCAGGGCGTCAATCCCCTGGTGGTCATCAACAAGATAGACCGCCCCGAGGCCAGGGTGGCGGAAGTCGTAGATATGGTCCAGGACCTTTTTCTGGAAGTGGCTACCACTGCGGAACAGCTCGATTACCCGGTCCTGTACGCCTCTGCCCGGCAGGGTTACGCCACCACGAACCCGGACATCCCGGGATCTGATATGCAGCCCCTCTTCCAAGCGATCCTGGATTCGGTTCCTCCGCCCCCCGGCGATCCGCACGCTCCACTGCAAATGCTGGTTGCCGCTCTGGACTACGACAATTACCTGGAGACAGTCAGACCGTATAGCCGGATACCACGCAAGATCAGCTGCATGACGGGTGGCGCTGCTGGGGCCGCGACGACGCTTCATTCACCACCACAAGGGTGGACGTAGTATTTTCGGTGCACGGATGGGAACGAGTCGAGAGCCGAGCACATGCGAGACATTGGGGCCGCTAACGATAAGGGGACCGGCCGAGAGGCGTGTCACCATTGGCGACACCATCGCCTCGCTCGAAGGCGCGGCGGCGTTGCCGTCCCATTGACATCGGAACCCACGTGTGCGTATGACGTCGGTGTAAAACACCTCTCATGGGACGGAGGGCTCGCACTGCACTTCCCGCAATCTCCACGAACGCTTGATGCGCGAGCTGAGGACCAACGTGAGCCTGCAGGTCGAGGACACTTCCAGTCCCGATGTGTTCGTGGTGGCCGACGGGTGGGGAGCTGCACCTGTCCATCCTGGTCGCGACCTGCGGCGTCGAACAGGATGAATGTCAGTGTCCCGTCCCCGCCGTCAACAGGGGGATTGACGAAGATACACGAGCCCTACGAGATCTGAACATCACCAACCATGAAGACTATCTGGGTCCGCTTACGGAGTACCTGTCCGCGCACATGGCTCAGAATCGGAATATGCGGTACAGCGGGGATGGATATGTCCACAGCGACAAGAGAAGTGGACGAGTTGATTGTGCATTCTTTTTCTTCTCACACCGAGGTTTGATCGGATTCACAGCCTCGTTAACCGCTCACCCCGGGCTCGGACGGGGTGGAAAAGCGTCAGTGTACCTTCTCGTCTTACCGGCCGATGGACTCAGCGGGATACGACACATAAAATCCAGCGCAGCGGCGTGCTCGTGCATCGAGAGACGGCGGTGGGCAGGGGTCTAGGGCGGGCGGTGCTCACGCCATGGCCGGGGCGATACCTTCAATCGTTCGGGCGTCAGGGTTTACGAGGGCATGATTGATCACGGCTCCCACCCACGGGAGGGCGACATCGAAATCAACGTCTGCAAGGAAAAGAAACTGACGAATATGCGTTCGTCAACGGCCGACGTGGCCAAACGCCTGAAGGCCACCATAAACATGAGCCTGGAAGAAGCCCTCGCTTTCATCGCCGACGACGAACTGCTGGAGGTCACCCCGGAAAACCTGCGCCTTCGCAAGATGGAGCTCTACGCCCTGGACCGCAAGCGTCATCGCCGGGACGGGTCTAGGCCCCGGGATTAGGAGTGCCCCCTTAGCTGGACTTTGTACAAAAACCGGTAACCACAAACCAGTAACGATAGAATTGGTGCGCCGCCAACTGTGGATGTTGCCCCAGGGTTTTCAATGTGTAGGTGCGGCAGCGACAGTGAAAAAGTGCCAGCCGCGCCCTAGACGGACCACTCACGGCTACGCCACCCACCGGCTCGTCGATGTGATAATCGTCAGCGCAGAAACATATCTCAAGACCCGCTTAAGGCCAAAAACCGTCATTGCCATGAAAGCGGGAAGGAGCCTGCCCAAGGTCACGACAAATGCCTGAACCAAGGCCTTGTACTGCATGCCCCAGTGTTGGCAACCCTTTGCGGTCCCCTTTCGTAGCCAACAGGCTGACCCAGCAGCCTGATGCCTTGCCTGCGATTGATTCCGGTGACCAGATCCAATAACAGTGCGGTAAAGTTTCTGCCGGAACCTCATTCGTTCGCGCGAAGATATTGCCGCCGCACAATCGGGCCTCGGGGGCGAGGGCCATCGCCGCAATGCAGTCATTGCGGGAGAGTGTGGTCCAGCATTCGCTCATAGAACCCAGGGCTGTCGTATGTTTCATTCCATGAGACGTGGCAGCCACTTGGAATGACAGTGAATCGCAAGTTGCCGTGGGCCGACCTCAATTCGGCCACAATTGCCTTGGTGTTATCTATTGGGTAGAGGGCGATATCCCTGACACGTCGTGACGACACCATACCGCCATTTCCCGCAGGTCCGCCACCCTCTCCATGCACCCGCGGGATCTCCGGGCCATCGGCGCACTGTTGCGCGAACACGATTCTCGACAGCCAGGGCCCACACGCCTATGCATCCCGTGCTCAGGCCCGTCAGGTAGATACGTCTGTGGTACGTCAGGTGCTCGGCCCCTGACTGAACCAACTGCAGCAGCAGCCCGGTGAACTCCTGCAATTCGATGTCCGCCGGGGCCTGGGGAGAAACCGCGATGAGCGGCAGACCTTCCGAATTATCTCTACGAACCGCCCATACATATAAACAACAAAAAACCCGTATTATCTACGAACCTCGGTACCCCGTGGTACTTCAATGATTCCAGGTCTTCCCCGGATTCCCCCAACCGTGCAGGAATGGCAGCAGCGGCCAATGGAATTCCGGGGTTTGGCGGTAGCCATCGGGGAGATGCAGAAGCTAGCCCAGCTCGACGACCTGCTGGAGGGCAAGCCGTACCCGGCCAAAGGGGTACAAACGCGGGCGCAGCCACGGGGCCGCTGCCCTGAGGGCCGTGGGGTTCTGAGGCAAGGGCCCGTATCGTGATGATGCTCTACCTGCCGGGAAAGGGCACAGGCCGGGCGTTCCTGTTCCGCTACCAGCACCGGCACCCTGAGCTGAGGGGCGGGTTCTATGTGGCCGACTGGTGCGGCGGGGCATCTATTCGAGCAGGTTGACAATGTTGGCGGCCGCCGAGACCGAGGCGGCCACTATTGTCGCTCCGGCCACCGACGCGGCCACTTTTTCGAGCTTCCGGCAACACCAGACGCTGCAAAACCATTTTCTGCCTGACCGTACAGCGGGGGGCGTTCAGTTTCTCCCAGTAGTCCCGCCCATAGGCTGTTATCCGGTAGCTGCCTGACCCTGACCGCTCAAAGGCACCAATGTCCTCGAGGTAGTGCATTGCATCTAATTCCAACGAGTCAGTACCAAAGCTGGTTGTGATGAAACTGCCCGGTTCCGCGTTCACCTGTTGCGTGAGCAGATTCCGAACCTCATTCTCCAGATCCTTCGGTGTGCCTCTGGCCACTGCCAACCTCCCGACGCGGGATAGAGGCGTTCCCTACCCTTCCACCTATCACCGCCGCAGGAACAGCGTCTACGGTCAACTGTCAGTGGCCACAGGAAAGGGGCGGGAATGTTCCCGCCCCTGTGATTCGCTCGGCCCCTCGACGGTCATAAGCGGCCCACGCAGTAATCCGCCCACTGCTGCATCAGCTCCCGCCTCTGCTCGAGCAGTTCAGACCTCATGTAAGCTTGCGCGACCTGTTCCGATGCTGTAAATTCCGTCGCCTCGCACACCAGCCCACGTGCGCCGGTGACTGACTGCTTCGCGGCCCAGTCCCTGAACGACGACCTGAACCCGTGCGGCACTGCGTCGATTTTCTCCCTGCGGAGCAGTTGGGTCAGACCCATATCGGAAATTGGCGTGCCGGAAGCGCGGGCCAGGGAAGATGCAGCCATCGGGCCCCGTTAGTTCCCACGCATCCCGTAGTATCTCGACAGCGAAAGAGAGAAGTGTATCACCTGTGTGAGAGGGTCTAGGAGAGTCGGGGGGGGGGGGAGATGCATAAGGTAGATACAAATGGAGAAGAGGAGAGGGTGTTCTTCCTACATCGCATCCTGTGTTCCCTCCGTGCCTTCATCCGCTCAGCCGGAATCGTCCACAGGCACACATTCCAATCAATCTCATTCCACTGCGCTTCCCTGACCTCTCCCGACCTGTTGGCGGTTAATACCAGAAACTCGAAGCACAGGCGCATTAGCGGGCGGGCATTGCGGCGGCGGGCTTTCCGCAGGGTAGCGGGGACGTCTCGGTACGGTAACGCCCGGTGATGTTCCTTCAACCGCTTCACGTTCGGCAGCGCCTTGAGAAGGTGTTTCCCTGCGGGATTCTCCGGTGGCCGGTGGCCACGAATGACCGCCCAGTCCATCACGGCCGCTTCCATGCGTTGCCTGACCCTGCTGGCGGTCTCGGGCTTGGCAATCCAGATGGGTTCGAGCACCGCGAGCGTATCGGACGGCGTAATCTCGTCGACAGCCTTCTCCCCCATAAATGGGAAGGCATAGGTTCTGAGGGTTGAGCTCCACTGGGCGGCGTGTTTCGGGTTGCTCCGGGTGGGGCGGTGCAACTCGATCACGCGGGCGGCTGCTTCGGCAAAGGTGGGAACGGAGGGCGTGGGGTGGCGAGCGACATCCTTGGCATGCCTCTTCTCGGCCAGAGGGTCCCGGCCTTCGGAGACAGCAGAGCGGTTGTCAGAGGCCAGAGAACGGGCTTGGGCCAGGCTCACCGTGGGGTAGGATCCCAAGCCGATGTCCCGGCGCTTTTCGTTGATTACGATCCGCTGGACCCAGGACTTGGTGCCCGAGGGAGCGAGGTGAAGGTAGAGGCCGTTTCCATGCCTGCCGGGTTCGGAGAGGGCCTCTATTGAAAGAGCGGTAAGCTTTCCCGTATAGCCTTTATTCCCACACAATGAACGGGACGTAGTGGCATTCTTTACGGGCGGCTTACGGAAAAAATCTCGTCCAATGTATCAGTAGATTAGATACATATGACGGGTCAATGATACTTTATGGGACTTGCTGAAACCTTGTGGTGGCGGAGAGTGGGTTTTCGAACCCGCGATAAAGCTGCGCCCTACTCGATTTCCAGTTCGCGCCCTTCGTCCACTCCGGCACCTCTCCGCGCATTCGGGGCATCAATCATTATAGGTTCGGCCATACACCCCCGCAAGTTTGAAAGCAAATCCTGCCTGTACGCCAGTGATCAAGACGACCGACGCCTTTCAGACCTGGACCGGCAGCGTGAAGCCAGGTAGGGCCGCCTTCCGTTTGCAAAAACGCATGAGGCTGACCGGACCATCGTACTGGTGGCGAATGCCGCGAACGCTGGCTATAATGGCCAACGCAAGAATTCGTACCAAGAATTCGTACTAAATTCGTACTAGGAGATGCTGCACGTATGGCCGATGCCGGCTTTGTCAAAGTGGCCCAGGTAAGTGAAATTGGTTCCGGAGACATGATCTCCGTGGACTTCAGCGGCGACGCCGTATTGGTCGCCAACGTCGACGGAGTCATCCACGCCTGCGATGACATTTGTTCGCACGCCTATGCCTCCCTATCGGAGGGCGACCTGAACGGCGCAGAGGTGGAGTGTCCCCTTCATGGGGCCTGCTTCAACATAACTACCGGCGAGGCCCTTACCCCTCCCGCGGAAGCCCCGATCAAGGTCTTCAGGGTCCAGGTCGAGGGCGACGATATCTACGTCGCATCACCGGGAGAGTAGCCCGTAAGGCTGTCCTGAAAGAGACCGGAACGGAATGTCTCCGGTCTTTTTGTCTTCGGCTACAGAATCAGGTTCCTGCCGGAGGTTCTAGTCCGGTCGGACTACGTGAAAGTTCTCCCATGGCCAGTAGACCAGCAAGAACCTGCCCACGATGTGGTCTTCTGGAACCACTCCCCAGGCGCGAGAGTCGTTGCTGTTGCGCCGGTTGTCTCCGACCACGTAATACTGCTTCTCGCCCAAGGCCAACGGCCCGGCGTTGGACCTGTCGCTTCTCTGGAGATATGGCTCACTGAGCGCGTCGCCGTCTATGTACACCGTACCCGAGCGTACCTCGACCGTTTCGCCTGGCAGACCAACGACCCGCTTCACAAAGTCCTTCGAAGGGTCAATCGGGTAGCGAAACACGATTATCTCGCCGCGGGTCGGCGGGTCGAATGCAAACCTGGGGTCAGCGTTCTCAGCCGCCCAGATGGGAACAATTCGCGATAAACGTTCTACGTCCAGCTTCAGGTAGGAGACGTGGTCGACCACCAGGTACTGGCCACCCTCCAGGGTGGGGGCCATGCTGGAGCCTTCGACTCTGAAGTTCCGGACGGTCCCCTGGAGGATTATCAGGGCCAACAGGGCCAACAGAACGGCTTCGAGTATTTCGCGGGCCAATCGTGGCATCGAGAGTTGTTATCCCCAGGCGCTTCAGTTCTCTTTTACGCAGGTCTTCTCCAAACAGGATAAATCATATCCGCAGCTCGTGTAATGAGGACGGGACGCCTGGTTGGGCCTTTTGAAGCGTGGGCCCGGTACTACAGATCGAGAGCTTGTCCGTTCCTGGCCGACAGGCCCCACAGTTCCTTCTGCCCGGCTTCCGGGGCGTTCATTCTGCCCCTTTCTCCGCCTCCGGCGGCTCTGCTACAATCAGCGCGTTTTCAGGCAGGGAATACAAGCGCCTAATATGTAACGATTTCACTATCTGGGGTTCGGAAATGAGTTGGAAATTTGAACTGTTGACCAAGCCCTTTGGCGGAGTGACCGAGGGGCCAATCTGGGACGGAGAACAGTTGCTGTTCACCCACATCCCGGCAAGTCGCATCATGCGGATAGACCCGAAGACCGACGCGATCACAGTGTGGAGAGAAGGGACGAACCGCACCAACGGCCTCGCCCATGACACGGCGGGCCGGATCTTCGGCTGCTGCTCCGGCGGCAGGGCCATCGTGCGCTTTGATGAGGACGGCACGAACGCCGTGGTCGCGGACAGCATCGAGGGACATCCCCTGAACACTCCGAACGACCTGGCGGTGGACGCCCAGGGGCGCATCTGGTTCACCAACCCCTGGAACGCCGGAAACATCGACGCAACCGAGGTGGAGGTACCCGGCTGGCGCTGCGTGCTGCGTGCCGATCCCCAGCCCGACGGCTCCTACTCGGTAACGCGGGTCGAGAGCGACAGCACATGCCCAACGGCATACTGGTGTCCATAGACGGCAGGACGCTGTATGTGGCGGAGAGCAACAGCGACGATCCGTCCATCGACCGCGAACTGCGGGCCTACCCCATCAACGACGACGGGTCGCTGGGCCCCTACTCCATGCTACACGCCTTCGGGACCGACGGGAGGACCGCCCAGCGCGGCATCGATGGGATGTGCCTGGACCGGGAGGGCAACATCGTGGCCACCGCAGGATGGCCCACAGCGGGACCTGGCCCGCTGATTTACGTCTTCGATCCCAAGGGACGCGTGATTGAGACCCACCCTGTACCCTGCATCCGGCCCACCAACTGCTGCTTCGGCGGACCGGACCGTTCCGTGCTGTATGTTACCTCTGCCGAGGGCCATGTTTCAAGGCGCAGACAGAAATGGAAGGCTGGGCGCTCTTCCCGTAGCGGAGAGTGAATGTTCCGGAGTGAGGAACGTGAGACGGTCCTCTCACTACTCACTCCTCTTCCCGATCTCCTCCGGGAAGGATGCACTGTGGAGGATGCACTGTGAGTTTGCGAAATCTAGGCGGGTTTGGACGCGACCAGATTCGCCAGGGCGGAGGCAGGGGCAACGGAAGCGATCATCTCGATGAGTTGATCGGCTCCACGGAGTTGTTCATCTACCAGACCCCGAACCGCAAGTCGAAAGGATTCGACGTGCTCAAGCTGTTCCTGGAAGCCAACGAGTGCGAGGTGCTGTTCACCACGGACGTGCCGCCGGAACTTCGCAACTACGAGGCATTCCGCATCACACACAAGCGCGGCGAGCCGATCCCAGCACCTGTCCTGCGCCGTTCCCACTCGTGGGCCCACGGCCGCAACTTCCTGCACAGCTTCTTCAAGCCACTGTACCGGTAGGGCAGCCTCTGACCAACTCCTCTCATCATCTCGGCCCTATGAATTTGCTCCGAGTTCATCGGACCCAGTACCGGGGCGCCGCGGCGGGCGTGCGAAGAGCACCAGCACCGTGGCAAGCCCTCCCATTACTGCAAAGGCCATGAAAGCAAGCTGGTAGCTCCCGGTCAGGTCGTAGATGATCCCCGACACCAAGGCACCGATGGCCTGACCGATCGTCGTCAGCGGCTCGGTGACGCCGCGGATAACTCCCAGGGACCGCCTTCCGTAGTAGTCGGCGTAACCCACCGGGGGCACCGATAGCAGCCCACCCACTCCGAAGCCGAACAGCACCGAGTACATGAGTATCTCCGGGGTGGAATCGGCGATGATGAAGAGTGCGGACGACACCCCAACGGTCATCGCCACGCCGGCGAGGACATAGCGTGCCGGAAACTTCTCGGTGATCCACCCCCAGAAGAGGCTGCCCAGCCCCAGGAAGGCGGCGTTCATGCTGATTCCCAAGCCTGCAAAGGCGGCGCTCAATCCCTGGTCCCGCAGGTATGCCGCCAGGTGCGTATTCACGCCCGCCTGCACCAGGAAGACCATGCCGGTGGCGGCGGCGAACATCCACAGTGCTGGCGTCCGCATGGCCTCCCTCAAGGTCCACATGGGCTCCTCGGGGGCTGGAGAGACGGTTGGAGCGGGGCCGAAACCTGCGACGGCGGGCTGACTCTCCCCATCTGCGGCGGCCGGGGCGTCACCATCCGGCCGCAGACCGACGTCCTCAGGCTGCTGCACGATCAAGAGCGAGACGGGGAGCAGGGCTATGGCCCAGACGAGTATCCCCAGAACTATCCAGGCCTCGCGCCAACCGCTGGTCCCGATGATCACCGATGCTATGAGAGGGAAGGCCACCAGTCCGATGGAGTGGGATCCGAAGAGGATTCCGGTGGCCCTGCCCCTCATCCGGACGAACCAACGGGATACAACCACGGACGAACCAATCTGCACCGGGCTGGAGAAGATGACCCGACCGACACCGTAGGCCACATAGAAGGCGATGGGGACGGTGGCCCACGCGAGGGAAATGGTGGACAGGCCCAGAATGAAAATGCTGACGGCCAGCACAAGGCGGGATCCGTAGCGGTCCACCAGCCAGCCGACTCCCGGGGATACGGCGGAGGCTGCCAGGCCTCCGAAGCTGGCGGCGCCGGCGATCAGCGTGCGGCTCCAGCCCAGCTCCTCGGACAGAGGGAATATGAAGACGGCGATGGTGAGGCTGGCGGTGGCGTTGCGCACAACCTGGGTGCTGCACGCCGTGGACAGGATGACCCACCCGTAGAAGAAGGGTGTCCTCGGGGCAAGGCGCTGCCCCAGGTCAATCGCCGCGAGGAGTCTAGTCAGCATCGAGGTAAGCGCAATTCCCACAGGGGATGGTTGCCCGTTCCGGACAATATACAGCCGAGGTCAAGCTGACCCCAGTCGGAAAGCTACCTGCAGGGCAATAGCGTCTTATCTTCGGCACACCGATAGGGCCGACATGGCCAGAAAAAGCCCCGTCATTCCTGCGAAAGCAGGAATCCAGAGGTCAATTGCCAGTGAATCGCGACCTGCCTGCCTCAAGGCCCCTGGATTCCCGCTTTCGCAGGAATGACGGGATTGTGGGGCCTCCAGCAATTAAGACGCGAATTGCCTGTGAGCGACCTGTTGCTGAGAATGCGTCAGACAGGTCAGACTGACTATCCGCGCGGTGCCCAACGGACAGTGACTTATTATGAAATACATCAGGGGCGGGATAGAGACCCGCCCCTACCTTACAAACAATCGACACGGAGGCAGACCAGGTACGCGCTGCGCCGTGCTGCTATTCCAGGTTGAAGCCCTTGTAGCCGTCGGATGCGATCTCTGCGCGCTTGGCCCGCATTACCGGAGCAGTATCAGGAGCCGTGAGAAGGAAACGGGCCTTGCCCGGGATGTTCGCTCCCACAAACCAGTTGTCGGCCTGCGTTCGAAGGATATTCTTGCCCCCTTCGATCATGTGCTGTGTCCACTCATCCTCAGATTGCCGGGTGGGGCGGTGTCTGCTCCGCGTGAATCGCGCTGGTGGCCCGCACGCACTCACTGCACACTCGCTGATCCACTCCACGAGCGGCTCGGCGGCGCGCACAAAGTTGCCCACGGAGGCTGCATTGATGGTGAACAAGTTGGGGAAATCGACGCTCTGGATCCCCATGAAGGTGCGTGGCCCCTCCGCAAACTTCTCCTGGAGGGTGAGGCCATTCTTTCCCTGGATGTGCATCCGGTTGAGGGAGCCGGTAACGGCGTCGTAGCCGGTGGCGTAGATGATTACATCAAACTCGTAGTGGGCATCGGCGGTCTGGATGCCGGTGGGTGTGATGCGCTGGATGGCGCTTTCTTCACGTCGACCAGAAGCACGTTGTCCTGGTTGTAGACCTCGTAGTAGCCGCTCTCGCAGGGCAGCCGCTTGGAGCCGAACATGTGGTCCTTGGGGGCGAGCATCTCGGCCACCATGGGGTCCTTGACCCGCTCTCGGATCTTGTTGCGGAAGAACTCGGCGTAGTCCTCGTTGGCCGGGCCGGGCATCATCACATCGTAGAAGTTGCTCAGCCACTTCTTGAAGCCCGGCTCGCTCCACAGCTTCTCGTATTGCTCTACCCTTTCCTCTTCCGAAACGCTGAATGCGGAGCGGGTGTCGAACTCGTGCATGAACGAACCAGCGGTCTCCAGGCACTTCTCGAATATTTCCGGGTAGCGCGACCTGATTTCCTCCTGCTCTTCCTCGGTGATGGGGCGGTTGCGCAGGGGAGCGCAGTAGTTGGCGGTGCGCTGGAAGACGGTCAGGTGGCCGACCTCCTTTGCGATCTCTGTGATGAGCTGAACGGCAGTCGCCCTGTGCCGACGACGCCGACGCGTTTGCCCGCCAGGTCCATGCCCTCCTTGGGCCAGCGCCCGGTGTGGCACCAGGTTCCCTTGAAGTCGTGAATGCCCTCGAAGTCGGGGACGTAATGGGCGGAGAGTAGTCCGACGGCAGTGATCAGGAACTGGCCGCGCGCTTTGTGGCCATCATCCATCGTCAGTTCCCAGCGGTTCGCTTCCTCGTCATAGATGCAGGATGCGACGCGAGAGTTGAAGCGGATGTGGCGTCGCAGGTCGAACTTGTCGGCCACGTAGTTCAGGTAGCGCTCGTTTTCGGGCTGGCCGGAATACAGCTCCTTCCAATGCCATTCCTTCAACAGGTCTTCCGAGAAGGAGTAGCCGTAGGTGTAGCTCTCGGAGTCGAAGCGGGCGCCGGGGTAGCGGTTCCAGTACCAGGTGCCGCCGATGCCGGAAGCGTCCTCGAAGGACTTGCAGGAGAAGCCCAGTTCCCGGAAGCGGTGCAGGAATAGAGCCGTACCCCGACCCCGCGTCCGATTCTCAGTACCTGAAAAAACCTCTTACTCCTCCTCAACTCCCCGCTCCCCCGAGCTCCATTACCGTCTGCCGTGGCAGTGAAGTCATCGCGCGCGCGATTCCGCTCGTGAGCATCGTCTCGTTCAGGGATATTTCTTCCCTCTACTCTGCGCCGCTGTACCTCTACGTCTATACCAACTAAGTACATTCTCCCGCAGCGCCACTACGATAAAGTCAGGGCAATCGCGTCTTGAATTCAGCAACTCAGCAGGTTGGGTCGGATGAGCCGACATTGCCGGTTTGCAGGGGCTGATTTTTTCGTTTTCCCGGTCATTTCTGGACATTCCGGGCTGGCCGCTGGTTCAAGAGACCCACAGGGATGTCAGTCGGGTTCTGTCTGCCATCCGTTATAAACATAGAACTAATGTTAGAGAAGAGCGCCAGGCTTGGCAAGGAGCAAATGACACCAAAATGAGATTCCAGCCTTCAAGACGCGATTGCCCTGACGACAAAGGTGCTCAACTAGCCGGCGCTAGGTATATGGGCTAGGTTTAGGCGCTAGGTATACAGGGAGGCAGGTGGGGTTGAGCCCATGAGGGTGGCGCCGCCGAATTCGAAGTTGAGGGGCAGGCCGGAGATGTGCTGGCCGTGGACGTGGAGGTCCCGGAAGTAGCGCTCCAGCCCCACGGAGCGGTGGATGGCGTTGGTGCCCGCGGCGTTGAAGAGCTTGTCGGCAACGGCGATGGACTGGCGGATTGCGTGGGTAATAGCGAGCCGGGCTCTCATGGAGAGTTCGGGTAGGTCGTCGCTGCCGCTGACCTGGGAATCCCACATACGGCTGACGGTGTCAAGGACATAGCGGCGGGCGCTGTCGATCATCGCCTCGCACTCGCCGACGACAATCTTGATGTGCTGGCGGTCGCGCAGCAGGGTGGGTGAGTCGGTGGACCCAGAGTCAGTGGCCAGACCGACGAAGGTGTTCATCGCGCCGCGGGCCATGCCCAGGGTGTTGGCTGCGGACAGGGTCCAGCCGAGCACGATGGACGACTGGGGCGGAGAGTAGAGGGGGCCGTCGTAGTGGGACGGCGCGCCGCGGGTGTAGGTGTGATGCTCCGGTACGAATACCTCGGAGTACTCGGCGTCTGCGCTTGCAGTGCCCCTCATGCCCAGGGTGGTCCAGGTGTCCAGCACCTCGCCGCCGGACACGGGCAGCACGACGGTGCGGAATTGGGGGGTGCCGTCGTCGTAGAGGACGGGGCCGTTGTCGTCGATGACCCGGCAGGCTACGAAGATGGCGGTGGAGTGGTCGATGCCGCTGAGGAAGTTCCAGCGTCCCGAGACGATGTAGCCGCCGTCGGCGACCTTCGCCGTGCCCCCGGCGCGGGCCGAGCCGGAACCGAGGACGATGGGAGGGTCTCCGAATATCTCTTTCGCTGCTTCTGGGGAGATTCGGACCACGGCGGAGGAGACGGCGGTGCCATTGAAGACGCACCATCCCACGGACCCGTCGGCCTGGGCGACCTGCTCGCACACATGAAAGGCCGTGATGGGGTCGGTTTCCGGCCCGTCCAGCGCCTTCGGGACATAGAGGCCGAAGAGGTGCTTGCCGGCCATCTTTTGAGCCAGGTCATGGGGGAGTTGCCGCTCGGTATCAATCCTGTCCCTGCTGGCTATTATCTCCGGGACAAAACTCTTTGCCGCCTTGATTAGGCTATCAGCCGGGCTTTCCGACATTCTATCTGCTGGGCTCCCTGACAATATCGCCCTCATTATAGCCGAGTCGGTGTCAACTCCCAACCGCAGCTCCGCCAACTCCCACCGCAGCTCCGCCAACCGCATCCCCGAAGACACGGAAGGAGGCCAAGGCAATCGCGTTTGGCTGGCAGAGCGCTGGGATTCCCGCGAAAGCGGTAATCAGTGGTGGTGCACTCGCAGGACGGAAAGCTACCTTGAGCACCTGAAGACCACCTGAATTGGAGCATCGATGAATTGCGATTGCGGGTTGAATCACCACGCACAAAATGGTAGTCTACCGTGGATTATTGCTGCCCTAATGGAGGTGGAAATACCTATGGCAGACCAGGTTACGACGCAGGATATTGCCCTCATGGCCCACCTGATGCGTAGGGCTGGCTTCGGAGCCCGTTACGACGATGTGGTTGAGCGGGCGAAGAAGGGATACGAAGAAACGGTGGAGGAGTTGCTGAATCCCGAAGACAACTCCAACGGCCTTGATCTCGACCTGACCGAGCGGTGCTTCGTCGAGTGGAGCCACTTCACACGCGCAGTGCCGGAGTACTTTGCGTGGCGGCTGATCAACTCGCGGGCGCAGCTGGAAGAGAAGATGGTGGTGTTCTGGCACAGCATCTTCTGCACGGCAGACAGCAAGGTGCAGTGCTATCCGACGCATTATGATCAGATTGAAATGTTCCGCAAGTACGGAATGGGCAGCTTCCGGGACCTGCTGATAGAGATTTCCAAAGACCCGGCGATGATCTTCTTCCTGGACAACTGCCTGAGTCATAAGGAGTCGATCAACGAGAACTACGGGCGGGAGCTGCTGGAACTGTTCTCCCTGGGCGTTGGCAAGGACGGGGAGTACAACTACACCGAGGATGATGTGAAGGAATGCGCCCGGGCGTTCACCGGGTGGACGATATCCAATCCCGTCCCGGGCCAGCCGTACGGCCGCTACTCGGCCCAGTTCCTCTATGTACCCGAGGACCACGACGACGGCGAGAAGACCTTCCTGGGTGAGACCGGCAGCTTCAACGGTGAGGACATCATCGACATCATCTGCAAGCAGCCCGCGGCCGCACGGTTCATCTCCCGACACCTGTACAGCTACTTCATCGCCGACGAGCCCGGTGTCCCCTCGTGGATGGAGACTCCGCCCCAGGACCTGGAGACAATCCAGATGCTGGAGCAGGAATACTACCGCTCCGGGTACAACATCAAGGCGATGCTGCGGGTGCTTTTCAACTCGGACGCGTTCAGGAACGCCCGCTTCCGCCGGATCAAGAGCCCGGTGGAGACGGTGATCGGTACGCTGCGGATGGTGGGTGAATGGACCCAGCCGAAGCCCGGCTTCGAGTTCATCTTCGACGAGATGAAGTACATGGGTCAGGAGCTCCTGAATCCGCCGTCCGTCGAGGGGTGGCATACCGGCAAGGAGTGGATCGACGGAGGCACGCTGGTGCACCGGATCAACTTCACCGCCGACTTCCTCGGCGACACCAAGTTCCCAGGCATCCAGGACATAGTCGAGAAGCTGGCGGACGCCGGCCCTGCCATCACCCCCGCCGAGATGGTGGACGGGTGCCTGCAGTACCTGGGGCACTATGAACTGTCGGACGAAAGCCGACAGATGCTGATGCGTCGCGCCGCCAAGGACGATGTGGTCCGGACGGACACAGCCGAGTTCCCGCAGGAAGTGGGCGAAATGCTGCAATTCATCGCCTCCACCAAGGAATACCTGTATGCCTAGGTCATTTAGTGGACAAGTGAGGAGCGGGAAGCCGGAGGGATTTGCTGCTCGCTCCTCGGCACTAACCAGTAAACAGAGAGAGAAGGAGACGGCAAACAGTCATGACGACTAACAAGAAAGATCGGGTCCTGGTGGTCCTCCAGATGACAGGCGCCTACGATGCCCTCAACACTGTCATTCCCTACAATGACCCCCATTACACCGACCATCGCCAGACGGTCAGCGTTGACCCCGCCGATGTGCTCCACATCAACGACGAGGTTGGCTTCCATCCGTCGATGTATCCGATCAAGGGCCTTTACGACCAGGGCAAGGTTGCGGTAATCCAGGGAATCGGATACCCAACCCCGAATCGCTCCCACTTCCGCTCCTTGGACATCTGGCACACCGCGGAGCCGACTAAGATAATCACCGAGGGCTGGCTGGGCAAGGCCACCCGAGAGCTCGACCCCAACCGCGACAACGTGCTGACCGCCGTGAACTTCGGTCGTGGCCTCCCCCGCGCCCTCGCCGCCCCCGGTGTCTCCGTCGCCTCCGTCGGCGACTTGAGCTCCTACGGCGTGCTGACCGGCATCGATGGCGAAGACCAGCGCATGGAAGCCCTCGACATCTTCTCCAAGATGTATTCGCCCCTCATCGGCACCGGCCCGGCCAACGACTACCTGTCCCAGACCGGTCTGGACGCGCTCAAGGGTGCCGACATCCTGAACACCGCTCCCGACATCTACACCTCCACGGTGGAATACGGCGGCAGCATGTTCGCGCAATGGTGCAAGAGCATCGCCCAGGTCCACCTGGCCGAGTTCGGCACCCGCATCCTGTACACCGGCGTGAACCCGGGCACCTTTGACACCCACGCCAACCAGAACGCCTCCTTTCCAGGCTGTGGGAAGATGTCACAACCGCCACAGTCGACTTGTACGATGACCTTAAGGAGCACAACGCCGCCGAGGAAGTCGTCATCCTGATGTTCACCGAGTTCGGGCGCCGAGTGCAGGACAACGGCTCCGGCACCGACCACGGCTCGGGCAGTGTGGCCTTCGTCATGGGTGATGGCGTCAAGGGCGGCACCTATGGCACGTACCCGTCTCTGGAACCGTCCAAGCTGGACGAGGGCGACCTTCATTGGAACAGCGACTTCCGCTGCACCTACGCAGAGTTGTTGGACAAGTGGATGGGGCTCGACGACAGGGCCATCCTTGGGGCCAACTACGAACAGGTCGGTTTCATCAAGTATCAAGAGCGGCTGAGGCGTAAGCGGGTCTACCGCGCTGCCTGCTCTTCTGATGGCGCTTCGCAATTCCCGATTCCTTTCCGTCATTCCCGCGAAAGCGGGAATCCATTTTCCTCAGGAGGGGCTAGTGGTTACTCAGATCGCACCGATTACCTTTCAGTACAGCCACACCATCGGCCGGCAGGAAGTTCGCAGCGGCAACGGCTTTTTCATGCCGTTGGCCATTACCCGCGACCCTGAGAACCGGCTCTATGTTCTCAGCCGCGGCTCCGAGACCCCTGCCTTCTTCCCTGCAAGCGTGTAACCGTTTTCACGGTGGACGAGGAGTTCATCGAGAAGACTACGGCCAGAAGCCGCCGGAAGACGCCGATCCTGCCACCGCCCCAACGGCAGCTTCATGTGGCCCACCTCAGTCGCTGGACAGCGAAGGCAACACCTACGTGTCCGACGAGTGGCTGCAGCGGGTCTCGGTCTACAAGCCGGCCAGGGCTGGACTGGAAATGTGGGTACCTGTGGGCTCTGCGAGGCGAGATAACAGCCCGCGGGCCTCGCCTTCGACAAGGACGACAACCTCTACCTGGTGGACAGCTACAACCACAGGTGGCAGGTGTCACCAAGGACGGCAAGTTCCAGTTGCTGGGGCTCCGAGGCAGCGGCCCCGGGAGTTCAGCTATCCGTGGGGCATCGAGATAGACGCAACGGCGACGTTACCGATTGCCGACTGCGCAACGACCGCATCCAGAAGTTCGCTCCGACGCACTTCCTGATGCAGTTCGGCTCCCACGGCAACGGCGACGCGAGTTCAACCGCCCCAACGGCGTGCCGTCGCAGGATGGCATATCTAGTCGCGACTACAAGAACGACCGCCTCGCCTGAGATTCGACGCAAAGAGGAGACTTCCTCACCAAGTGTTGCTCGGCGAGGCCACCCTGTCCACCTGGGGCCGAGAGCGGGTCCTCATCGACCCATCGCCGTCAAGAGGCGTATGGCCGCCAACATGCTTGAAGAGCGGGAGAAGGCCTTCCAGGGCCCATCGCCGTCGAAGTATGACGACGAGGCCGCGTTTTTGTCGGGAAGTCGCCCGCCCAAACGTGTCCAGGTCTTCAAACAAGCAGAGGTCGGTCTACCAGGGCGCCTCCTGTAGGCAGCCTGCCCGAGGTAACTGCCCAAATCAAGGGCCCCGTCCTTCTATAGACGGGGCCTTCTCCTTTTGCGCATCCGAACGAGAGCCGTTTTCGCGTTCAAGGAAAGCCACAACAGCTACCTCTCCATCGCAAACGCCGTGAACGGGCCGGCGGCCTCTGTGTTACAATTGTCGGCTATCTGCGAGGGTTACTGATGCCACCTAAACAATACTCCAGCCACGCCGCCGACAACTATTGAAACAAGACAAGATCTACATCGCCACCATTGATACCAGTGCAGGATCCATGATCGTCGAGCTTTTTCTCTCTCTGCCGAAGCCCCCTGACGGTGAACAACTTCGTCCATTTGGCCCGGGACGGTTTCTACGAAAACAGCCAGTTCCATCGTGTAATCAGGGATTTCATGATCCAGGGTGGCTGTCCCAAGGGAGACGGCACCGGTGGGCCGGGCTATCGCTTCCAGGACGAGCCCATCAAGCGCAAATACGTGCGCGGCACACTTGCAATGGCCAATGCTGGCCCCAACACAAACGGCAGTCAGTTCTTCATCGTCCACGGCGTCGACGTGGGACTGCCTCCCAACTACACTATTTTCGGGATGGTCACCGACGGCGAAGACGTGCTTGACACCCTCGCGAACTCCCCCGTAACCCGCAGCAGCGGCGGCGAGCCCTCGCAGCCCACCGAGCGCTTGGTGATCAACAACATCACCATCGACGAGTCCTAAGCCCGCTCAGTCGATTCAGCGGCGAACACCGAGCGGAGGGTTTCACAAAGACTCTCCGCATTTTCATTGCAGCGGAGATGGGCCTTCGCAGCTCCTCCGAACTGAAGCGGGCCACTGCTGTTAACTGGTGACCATCACTCTGTCGCCGGAACCGCTTGCACGGGCGGGGGTCGGACAGGCCGCGGCCGCGCGGAAACCAGGAAGCACAGCGCGCCAACCATGTTCAGGCCCGCCAGTACCAGGAAGGCAAGGTCATAGCTCCCGCGCTGGTCAAACATCCACCCGGCGAAAGGCGACGCAGTCAACAGCAGCAGATTCATAGGCACCGTGGAAAATCCCAGAATCTTGCCCGACGACGCGTCCAAAATAGCGGGCGCGGATCGCGACAGTCAGCGGGTTTGCGGCCTCCGAATCCGGCACCGAACAGGATTCCAAAGATGTAGAACATCGGCAGGGTATCCGCCACCACCAGCACCAGCACTCCGCCCGCCTGCAGCGACGTGAAGAACGCCAGGGCCACGCGCTTGGACAGCCGGTCTCCGGAGTACCCGCCCACCAGCTGGAAGACCATCGCGACTCCGGTGTAGACCGAGACCACCCAGCCTGCATCCTGGCCGCTGTAGCCCTTGTCCACCATCAGCAGACCGAGGTGGGTCATTATGGCCAGGATGACCATCGAGGTGAATCCGTGGCCAAAGGCGATGAGCCAGAAGGCGGGAGTGCGAAGGGCCTCGCCAGCGGTCATGTCCTGCTGGCGATTTGCGGCCTGGCTTCCGGCGGACCCAGCGGCCGCGGCGGGACGTATCGGCTCCCCATCCGCCACCTCGCCGTAGTCCTTGGGGTCGTTGCGAATCAAGCCGGCCAGCGGCCCTGCAAGTACCAGGATGCCAATACCCATGATGAGCGCCGTGTTCTGCCATCCGATGCGTCCCGGAGCATCGGCCACGGTCCACGCGATGGCGGGCACCAGCAGCAGGGCCCCGAAGCGGCTGACAACGTTGGCCCAGCCAATGGCCGAGGACCGACGCCGGGAAAACCACTTGTTCAGCATGGTCATCAGGGGAATCCAGCTCCCCAGACCCTGGCCCACCGCCATAAAGACATAGGCCACGTAGAACATCCAGAGGCTTTCGACGCGGGAGAAAAAGATCCAGGCCCCGCCCAGGATGATCAGCCCGATAAGGACCATCCACCGGGTGCCCACGCGGTCGACCAAGTATCCTTCGAGGGGGCCGATAAGACCACTTTCGACGCGGGTCAACGTGAGAGCCAAGCCCAGTTGGGCTCTGCTCCAGCCGAAATGCCGCTCCAGCGCAATGGCCCATACAGCCATAGCGATGAATAGCGGGAACGGTAGCTATGACATTACCAGGCCTGTGATGATGACCAGCACCAGCCATAGAAAGACGCCCTGCCTGCTTTGGTCCGCGGGTGTTTGAGAGCGCGATGCGCTGAAAATCCCGAAAATGTCGCTTTCTCTCTTTAATCGCGATTTCTAATCAAGCAGAAAGTATATCATCGAAATTGACGATAGATCAGTCCGCGAACCAGACCATAAATCGTCGATTCAGTCCCCTTGACTCTCTCCCTTTTCACGAATCTCCAGCCAGAGTCTGTAAGCACGGTTCTTCGGAATGTTGAAGCTCGCAGATGCGTCGGCGACCGCTTCGCGGCCCCGAACTCCGCCGGCAATGCGGTCCAGGAGAAAGCGGCGAACATCACTGTCCTCGCTATCAAGGTCGCGCTCAGAGGCTTGGTCCGGGCCCGCCCCCGCTATCACCACCGCGAACTCGCCGCGTGGCGACGCGAAATGCTCCAGCGCCTCGCTTGCAGTGCCACGAAACACCTCCTCGTGCAGCTTGGTCAATTCGCGGCATACTGCCAATGGCCGTTCGCCCAATACGAGCGCTATGTCCTCCAGCGTCGCCCGCACCCGGTGGGGCGCCTCAAACAGGGTCACCGTGAGCGGGTAGGTGGCCGCCTCCCGCAACCGCTCCTGTCGCTCCCGACGACGGCGTGGCAGAAAGCCGAGAAACAGAAAAGCATCGGCTGGAAGTCCCGATACTGCCAGTGCGGTGGTCACCGCCGATGGCCCAGGAACAGACTCGATCCGCACACCGCGCACTGCCGCTTCGGCCACCAGCTCTCTGCCGGGGTCGCTCACGCCAGGCATGCCGGCGTCCGATACCAACGCAACGTCGCCTTCCTCCAGCGCCCGAAAAACTGGCTCAAGTCGCTCCCGCCAGTTGTGCTCGTTGAAGCTGAGCAGCCGCGGACGCGCGCCCAGGTGGTTCAGCAGACGCCTGGTAACCCTGGTGTCCTCGGCGGCCACCAACGCGACCTCGCGAAACACCCGTGCCGCCCTTGGCGACAAGTCTTCAAGGTTGCCGATGGGCGTGCCCACGACGTAAAGGGTGCCGCCCCTGTCATTCCTTGGATTCAATGCCTCTCCCGCCACGCTGACGCGAATGTTCTACTAAGCGCCTACCCTCCCCAGGTGCCCCGGCTCCATGTATTGGCATCAACTTTCGAGCTCTGTGAACAAGCCTTCGGATATCTCTATGATGAGGATAAGGCCGGGAAATTTACTGACAGTTGCCCCTTGCCAAGTCTCATGACACATCTCTACCATCTAATACAGCGGACTCAAACTCCGCGGTCCTGGCATTGCGAACGTCAAGCCGAGTGCACCCATGTCACATGTCCGACCTCCGACATTCGCGTCACTCGGTAGTGGCAGACCTTGGTTCCGATGCGTTCAGGGGCCGGTATTAGCTGCCCATACTGCGCCGGCATCGAAGCTGGAGCTGGGCAATATCCAGAAAACACGTCGCTCTGCTGGTACTGGAGGCCAATGACCGAAGTGGCCGGAAAAATCAAGAATTTTTCCCACCCCGGCCACCCGTCAGTTACAAGAACACTCGGCTCTGACCAGTCTCTCAGCGGGGCATTCCCCCGTGAATACCGGGAGCGGGGCCTGCCCCCAAACCCCACCGAAAATGAGACCAAATGAGACAGAATGAGACACTAAAAGTATTCAGTTTTGGCGCGAGACACTCCGCCTCCCTTGATTTGGCAGCGATTCAGCCACCTCCCGGGCACATTCCCCTCTGCACTCGTCACGCGACGAAAGTCAAAGTCCCTGCGCAGTCAGGTAGGCGTGTGGGGTCGTGCCTCCCGTCGAATTCAATGAGTTCATGCCTGCGATTTCTCTCCCACCGCATCCCTTCCTCATAATGGAAGAAAGAGAATTGAAAGACTCTGTACCAACCCGGATCCCGCCTTGCATCGCGAACCCTATCGTATATCATGCGCGGGTTGGATAATTCCCGACGACTCTTTCTGGAGAGTCTCCGCCCGCTCTTGAGAGGCAATTCACGCTCTCCGCAACGTTGGTCCAGGAGGAACCATGGCTAGACTTACCGGGGGGCACCTTTTCATCCGATGCCTGAAGCAGGAAGGCATCGATACGGTGTTCACCATTGTGGGGGACACCATCCTGCCGCTGGTCGACGCGGCCGAGGACGAGGGATCAGGTTCATAGACAACCCGGCACGAGGCGCGGCCCTGCACATGGCAGACGGCTACGCCCGCATCACCGGAAAGCCGGCAGTGGGCATATTCACCGGTGGGCCCGGTTTCTCCAACGCCATCTCGGCGCTGCCAGCAATCTACACCTCGGAGAGTCCGTGTTGTATTCGTGGCAGGTTGCGCGGAGCTGCCCGAGAAAGGGATGGCAGCCTTCCAGGAGATCGACCAGGTCAGCATGGCCGCCCTGTCACCAAGGTTCATGGCTGATCCACGACAAGACCCGCATCCTCCGAGTACGTGGCGACCGCCTTTCGCACTGCACAACTGGTCGCCCGGGACCCGTGCACCCTCACGCTTCCCATCGACCTGCCAGGATGCCGACATCAGCGAGGACGATCTGCCCCAGTACCTGCCGCAAGAATACCGGCCGATGGGCCGGCCCCAGGGCGACCCTACCCTTATAGAAGAGGCAGCTGCGCTGCTGCGGGGTGCCCGTCGCCCGGTAATCATTGCCGGAACCCCGCCCGGTATTCGTGGCCCCGGAGCAACTGGAAAAGCTGGCCGAAGCCACCGGCATCCCGGTATTCACCGTGGAGCAGGCGCGGGGACTGCTGGACGACGAGCACCCGCTGTGCTTCGGTTACGCCGACGGCGCGCTCAACCCCACGGCCCGTCGCTTCCGGGAGGCCGATGTCGTGCTGCTGCTGTGCAGCGGCTGGACCATCGCTACCGGTACGGCGGCGTCTTTTCCGGCAATGCCAGCCTGATCCAGTGTGACGCGTCAGCTGCAGAGATCGGACGCAACCGGGGAGTGGCCGTGGGGATCCAGGGCGACCTTGGTGCGGTGGTCGATCAGCTCACCTCCGCGTTGTCCTCCCCGCAGCGTCCAGCGAGTCCAAGACAGCGTGGGTGGAACATTGAGGCAGGATCGCGATGCTTGGGATGAGGAATTGCGTAGCAAGGCCACCGGCGAATCACCGATGCATCCCCTGGACGTCTACACCGGACTTGAAAAGCACCTCGACGACGACTCCGTCTCATTTTCGACGGCGGGAGATTACGTGCAGTGGGGCCGCGCCTACATGAAGCGACGGACCGGGGCAGTCATGCGCTGGCCCCCTCAGCCACCTGGGCGCGGGCATACTATGGCATTGGCTGCAAAGCTGGCCAATCCAACGCCAAGGTGCTGGTTTTCATCGGCGACGGGGCGTCGTTTTCTACACCATGGAGTACGACACCTGCATCCGGCACAATCTGCCGCCTTACCACGGTGCTGGGCAACGACTCCACATGGGCATCGACAGACCTTCCAGGTCGCACTACTACGCTACGGGGCCGTGCCGTTGGCACCGACCTGCGGCACATCCGCTACGACCAGTCGTCGGGGCCATCGTGGCTACAACCCGAACACGTGGAAACCCCAACGATGTGGGCGACGCGTGGGAAGGGCCCGGCTTCTGGCAACCATCTTTGGTAGACATTTCCGTCCGATCCGGCGCCGTCCGCTCGCAACGGCGATGATGCCCGGCGTACTCGGCGGCTGACTGGATTGGGCGTATGTAAGACCACGGACTATACGATTCAGGAAACAATTCGTACCGATTGACGTAATAATCGTCACCACCCCTTCTGTAACTAATCTGATATGCACATCGAATATGAAATCCATGTGTCATAGGCTTGACAAGCATTTGGGTCAGTTATCGTTCGCAAGGCAAACCCCCGCTTGCCCGGCGTAACATTTTTGGAGGGAGGTATGCTAACGATAGGCCATGAGGTCGTTCGGCCTGGCAAGTACCTGGGTGAAGAGTCCGTCACGATCCAGGTCCCCGAAGACTGTGAATCCGTGCCCGGAATTCCTCTCACGCAGCCGCGAGGGAGTTGACTGGTACGCCAGGGAATATCCCATAGAGACCATGAACATCACTGAGCGGCTTCTCGAGACTTGGGCCAACGCCATACGCGACAGTCACGTCGAGATGCGTGAGATCCGCAAGGAGCACGACACCGCTGAACGCAGCCGCTGATTCTGGCGCCCCGCATGACTGGCGACCGAGCCCACTGCTGAGCACCGGCGAAGACGTAACCGAGGCCATCCAGACCAAGGCCCCGCGAACTGGGTTACCATCGAGTCGGCATGACTGCCTATGACCACCGGTACACACCTACCAGAGCAAGAAGGACTGGGTCAGTTCCCGCATGCCATCTGTTTGCCTACGACGGACTTTGAAGCCCACCCAGACCATTCCCAGCTCGACGCTGAGATCGTCCACTCACACCTATCGCTACCGAGGGCGCGGCTGGTCTGGAAATGGCCAAGTTCGTCCAGATCTCGGCTACCGGGCGCAGGTCCACAGCCCCAACGACAACACCGGGCCCTACATTCCGATGTTCGTCGCTGCCGGTCTCTGGCTCTCTGGCGCCTGCGGCTACCTGCTCACCCGCATGTCGGCTCACGCTGCCGCATCATGATCATCACCACCGACGCCAACGTCACCCATGACAGCCGTGGACTACGGCATCCACGCTTCTGTCAGGTCTGCAGGTCTGCGTGAACCGCTGCCCCGGCCGCGCCTGATGCGCGACAAGATCTGGTGGCGCGGAGCCGAGAAGAACAAGCTCATCTTCAAGCGCTGCCGCCCGGTCATGGCCCGCTACCTAGGCTGCGGCATCTGCATGAAGGTCTGCCCCATCCAGAAGTACGGCATGTCCACCGTATGGAGCACTATGCCGCCACCGGTCAGGTGCTGGGCAAGGGCACACACGCACCTCGAGGGCTACGACTCGAGGGCAAGGGCTACTTCGGCCCCGGTGAAATGCCGGTATTCGAGCGCGAGTCTTCTCGGCCATGCCCTCACGGCGACATCACCGAGAGACGTTCGCCTTCGACAACTTCGCCCCAGATTATGGCCACGGACATGGCGGCGTCCATCACAGACGAATATGATCGAACGGCTTCGTAGGTGAGGTCCGCTCGCGGCCTGCAGGTCAGTCCCCACAGCGACAACATCGACTGATGCAGGAAGAAGACTAGCATACATAGCCCTCACTCTCCTGTATCGTTAGCCGCGGACCCACAGGGGCCGGCAATTGCACGGCCACTCTTGTCCACACAGCGTCTCATGTTCACAGCCTCAGCGCTGCGCAGCGGGCTAGACTAAAGGGGATGGCGTCATGCGCGCATCTCCATTTCGACAACTCCGCGCCAGGAGGGGCGCACGGACAATGGCGCGGCGTCATCACAAACACTGACGATATGATGAAGAGCTTCGTGGTGAGGTTCGCTCGCGGCTGCAGCATGTCCCGCGACAACATCGACAAAAATGATGCAGGAACAGAAGACTACATCTAGCCCTAAAAACACTCTAGTTACCCACCGCACTCGTCCCGCGGAACCAAAGGGGTCCGGCAAATAGGCCGGCCCCATACTCTCTGCCGCTACTAATAGCGTCTCAAGCACCGCAAGCGCTTCGGCGCCGGGCAGACTAAAGGGGAGGGCTCGTACGCCTCCCCGATCCAGTTCCATGTCCTAGCGGTGACTAAGTCTACAGTGGAATACACCGCGGCACACCGGCAGACATGGCGGGTTGTCCTGCGTGAGTGCGTGGCCAGCTTGCCACTTCGCCTCGTATGTGTGCGGAGTCCGGTCCATCGGGGCGCAAGTCAAAGATGACGTTCTCATGGCCTGCTGCACAAGGTGCGCGCGGCGCTGTCCGCCGGGACGCATCAGGCGATCCGTCATGTCGGGGGCGACAAGGAAGAGCAGCCAGCGGTCTGACGATTGCATGCTCTCCATAGCGGGCCGCCGTAATATCGCGTGGATCAATCCGTGTCCCGAGAGTCGGGAAGAGGGCGACTACGCTCATCTTGTCGTAGTACGCAGCCAGCGCTCGATGTCTCTTGGTCGACAACCTCATCCGGGGGAAACAGTCGTTCGCCGCGCGCATTGCTGTGAGAACACCACAGGCTTCCACGCCCAGCGCACCCAAGTCAGTCGCTCAGCTTCTGGGCAACTCCTCTCACATCGTCCCGGCAAGAAATGAGTCTAACAAATTGCAGTGGCTCAGCAGCAATGGCCTCCTGAAACGAGGCAAGCGTTGCCGGAACACCGGCTCCTGCAAGGAAAATGGTTGGGATACAGCCCACCGGAGCGGTAAACCTATCCACGCCAATGCTGCTTGGCGCATCATGGCGGGCTTGGTCCAGACCGATGGCCTCCAGATCACAATCCTGCACTACTGTGTTAGCCGAGAGAAGCACTTGTGAATCCTGTGCCAGAACGTCGCAGCCCCAAATCTGAGTCTGGAACAGATCAGCACCATTCAGGATGCTTCGCTCATGTTGGTGCGTACTATATTTATTGCACCGGAGAAATTCGCTCCCGTCAAGTTGGCTCCGGAGAGGGCCCCGATAAGACTGGCCACGCTGTAAGTTCGCGTTGGTGAGATTGGCGCCCGACGGTTTGGCGTCCGAAAGAATATGGCGATCCAGATCGGCGCCCGTCAGGTCGGCACCCCCCGCGATCGACACCTCGCATATTGGAGCCATTGAAGAGGGCAGCGGAGAGATTGGCCTCCCGAAGGTCTGCGTGGTATAGGTGGCGGGTTTAGGAAGCACCCGGACAGGTTGGCCCTGCGCAATGACGGCACCCATCAAATCCGAATTACGAAGGTCAGCACCGCTGATATTTACCTGAGGGGCCTGACCTAACTCATGTAGGCGGCATTCAGGTCGACGCGGCTCCCGTGGGATGGGCTGATATCTATCCATGCGACGCGACATGGTAACTGCCTACGCCACGTACAGTACCAGTGGAACAGTGCTCCATGTTGGCCATAATCGTTGCTCCCGGGGACAACATTAATGGATAGCTGCGGAACCGTGGTTGTCGACGCGCAACTGTCCGGCCCAAAGTGAGTGTCCGCCGGAACAATGAAGGTGCGAACGGGATTTAGCAACAAAAGGAAGAGGCGAACTCACCTGACGGGGATCGTCACCGCTATCGGTGTTACCGACGCCGGTCTTCAGGTTGGCGTCTGTATGACGGCCGCCGGTGGTTTGGTGCCTCATCCAATCTTCCGGTCCCCGTGGTGCGCCTCAACTCTGAACGTGAGCCGGTTGCGATCAACCTCGAGTGTAATGCTGGTGCGCTGGCAACGATGGCTTATCACCTAGGTCGGCCGGAGCAGATGCAGCATGTTCACTTCAAACACTACCCAGTGGTCTCCCGGCGCAACAGGTGGCCACCACACGTCCTCGAGGCCATGTTCCATCAGCTGATATCATCGAGGGGTACTGAATTTGGGTTAGTGGGCGCGACGTTGGCTTCGACTCCCACACGGTTCCATACGGCCTGAACAGTCCGGCCTCTTAAGTCGGACTCTGATGTCCTCTGCTCTCGAGCCTCGTCTTCGTCCAATTGTCGGAAGTCCATCGCAACCGATGTCACTAGGATGACTAGACGCACACTGCAATGGCGGAGACGTAGCTGGTATCAGGCGCAATGTGTCGCTGCCGCACCCGAGGGCGTCTGCGGCAAGACAGAGATTCAGAACGCTCTGAGTCGCGGCTGCAGGCTGAACAGGCACTCGCCGAAGACAGGTGTGTATAGAAGTGGGCAGCCGGTTCCGACAATTTGCCGGGACAAGGGACTCACTGCCACGGGATTCCAGTCGACCGAGGGTACCTACAGTGGACACATCTTGATGCGAGCGGCATACAGGACTCAAGTCGCTGCGTACGCCCTGAGATGCCTTGACGGCGTCTTCGTAAGCAACCCACCGGACACAGGTCAATGTCCTCAGCAAATGCGATTGATTCTGTCAGCGGGTCCGAAATCTCCCCTGCATAGTCGAGGAACATACCAGTCTACAGTCGCCGTTCTTGTGACGGGGGCCCATAGAGTAATAGGAAATGTAGGTGGAGCGGCAAATAGGTGCACGGATAGAGAGAAGCCTGGGCTGCAGGCCCGTCTCCTCAGAGATTTCCCTCACCGCACATCGCTCCGGTTTCTCGTCACCGGAAAGCTTTCCCTTGGGCAGGTCCCACAGATGGTGTTTTCTAATCAGCAATCCATGGCCGCCGGACAGGACCAAGCCTCCGGCGGCCTTCATCTGGGGCAGCTCATCTCTATTCATGTATTCTAATCCGCTCCAATATCGCCACCTGTTCTCTATTCAGCCCCGTGAAGAGAACCCCATCGACCAGCAGGTCCAGAAATTCCTGCTGATCTTCTGATTCTGCCTGCAATGACGGATGAATCAGCCCGCTGTCTTCATACCCCGAACTGCACGAGCACGCAATGGATCGCGTTCAGCAATGCCTGCTGCTTGTTGTCGGAGTCGATAATGAACCAAGGCGCATGCTCAGTGGAGGTTACTGAAAACATTCGCTCCTTGAAATAGGTCAGCAGTTGCCAACGCTCAGCAGCCATTCGATCATTGGCTGAGTACTTCCAATATGTCAAATCGCTGATGCTGCGGAGCTGGAACCGCAGGTCTGGGCCTCTTGGGAAACAGAGAGATAAACCTTGATGAGTGTGATTCCTTCATCGACCAAGGACTTTTCCCACTCATTAACTCGACCCATAAAATAGTGATACTGCCGCATTGTGCAGTAGCCCATCGCAGGCTGGATCATTGCGCGGGAGTACCAGGGCCGGTCAAAAACGACGATGCTGCCCTTGTCAGGCATCATCTTGTAGTGCCGCCCAAGCCAGTTGCGCATAGCCTGGGGTGAGGGCGTGCCCTGGGCGACAATCCTGGCATGCCTGGGATTCAGATAATGTGTAATACCCGCTGACAGCTTGCCCTTCCCGGCAGCATCCCGTCCCTCCAGAACTATAACCAACCGCTTGTCGTTTTCAATCACCCATTCCTGCAAAGAAAGGAGATGCACTCGCAAAGCGCGTAATTCGGCCCTGTAAGCCGGGTAAGACAGGTCGCGGAACTCGGCGACATCATGAGTGTAGGGGGGCGATAACGGCAAGATATCAGCAACGGCTTGCATCGTCCTTACCCGCAATCCCGTTCGTCTGGTGCAGCCTGAAAGCAACTTTGTAGTAAATAATGTTAGATAGTGTCCGGCCGATAGTCAACTTGCTCCCCAATAGTCTTGAGTCATTCATGTGCTGGCAGGGCGATCGCAAAAATTGATATGCCTACCAGCTATACAGGTCAGTCCGCCGCCTGTGTCAAACGAAGTCCTCGACGATCGATAGAACCCAATCCGGTTAAACTTCGCCCTTGCCAAGCCTTGTAACACCTCCCTACTATGAATTGCATGTATTGCACATCTCACAGCCAACAGGCTCGACCGTCTCCGGCGCCCTCCCCGCCACGCCCGGCCGGTCAACCAAATGGGACGCAATCGGACGGGAAACTGAAATTTTTGCCCATCACCCGGAACAACTTGAGGCACAGGAAACAGCAACCTGCCATGTCTTGGTGTCCGCTGGTTTCCACTGGGCAGGCTAACATTAGCCTCAAGGCGGCCCGGGCGAACCACCAATGGACTGCACTCTGACAAACCGTTTTTGAACTTGCCGATATGCCCAATTTCAAGGGGCCTTTCGACATTCGGATGACCCTGACCACTTGCCCGGTTGGTTGAAGCCATGAAGGGTTTAAAGTAACATCAGGTTAGGAAAGGTAAGCAGTGTCAACAAAACGGGATTTCATTTCAGTCACTGACCTATCCCCAGACGAGACCCGCCGCCTCATTGAAGACGCCGCTCAAGGAAAATCGCTTCGTGGGCGCAGCCCCCTGGCTGGCAAGTCGGTGGCCCTGTTGTTTGAGAAGCCCTCGCTGCGAACCAAGGTCAGCTTTCAGGTGGCAGTCGAGCAGTTGGGTGGCTACTCGCTATACATGGGTGGCGAGGAGGTCGGGTTGGGCGTCAGGGAGCCGGTCTCCGACGTGGCCCGAGTGCTCTCAGGTTATGTGGATTGCATCGTCGCGAGGGTTTTTCGCCATGAGGACCTGCAAGAACTGGCCACTTACGCATCGGTGCCGGTCATCAACGCGCTGTCTGACTGGGAGCACCCATGCCAGGCCATGGCCGACCTATTGACCATTCACGAACATAAGGGTGGACTCGATGGGCGGACCCTGGCCTACATCGGCGATGGGAACAACGTTGCCAGAAGCCTGTGCCTGGCACTCCCGGCAGTTGGCATGAATTTCAACTGCGCCTCGCCAGTGGGATACGACCTCGACGAGGGATCAGTTGCAGCAGCGACTGGACGGGGCATTGGAGCAGTTCGCACCATGCGCTCGCCGGTGGAGGCGGTCGCAGATGCTGATATTGTCTACACGGACGTCTGGGCCAGCATGGGGCAGGAGGCAGAGGCGGAGCAGCGACGGTTGGAGTTCGCCGGCTACACCGTAGATCCTGCTCTGATGGCACAAGCCCGGCCCGGCGCCCTGTTCATGCACGACATGCCAGCTCACTACGGCGAGGAGGTACCGCCCGGCATGCTGGAGCATCCGCAGTCGGTGGCCTACCCACAGGCTCACAACCGACTCCACGCCCAGAAAGCAGTTCTTGAGTTTCTGCTGGGAGATTTACTAACTTCTTTAGTCACCTGATCAATAGGAAACAACTTCTTTCGTAGCAATAGGAACGCCCTCTCATTCACCCTGTGAGTCATAACTGAAAGCCAATGCCACTACCAATCATAGCCATAGTCGGGCGCCCCAACGTAGGAAAATCGTCTCTCTTCAACCGGATTGTCGGCTGGAGGCACGCCATCGTGTCCGACGTGGCCGGAACCACCCGCGACCGTCTAATGGCGGACACTGACTGGGAGGGCAGACGATTCATTCTGTTGGACACCGGGGGGCTGGAAACCGACCCGGGAAGGTGCCATTAGGTCAAAGGTGCAGGAACAGGCAGAAATGGCCATGTCCGACGCCGATGTGATCATCCTGATGACCGACGTGGCCGATGGCGTAACACCCACTGATGCCATTGCGGCCAACCGCCTGAGGACCACTGACAAGCCTGTGGTGCTTGCAGTAAACAAGGTCGATAACGACAACCGGGAACTCAATACTCCGGAATTCTACCAACTGGGAATGGGCGACCCGTCACCGGTAAGTGCCTATCACAACTACGGCATATACGAACTAATGCAACGAGTCCTGTCCCATCTGCCACCCATCGAGACTCAGGACGACGGGATCGTAGACGAGTGGGACGAATTCGGAGAAGAGGACGAACCACCGGCCCTGAATGAGCTGGAGGACGCTCCCCCGCAGGCCGAATTGAACCTGGCAATTGTTGGTCGTACCAATGTGGGTAAGTCAGCCATACTGAACGCCATCCTGGGACAGGAACGCTCAATCGTCAGCCCGATCGCCGGTACGACCCGAGATGCCATCGACACGCAGTTCACCTACCGGGCTCGCGAGATAGTGGCGATCGATACGGCAGGAATGCGACGTCGCGGGCAGGTGGAACGCGGCATCGAGAAGTACAGTGTGATACGCGCGGTCGGAGCGGTCGATCGCAGCGACATCTCCCTTATAGTAGTGGGCGCCACGGAACTGGCCACAGCGCAGGACACTCACATAGCGGGATTGGCCCTGGGAGATGGGGCGCGGTGTAATCGTGGTGGTCAACAAATGGGACCTTCGGGAGGATCAAGACCGCTATGCTCGGGCCGAGGCGGAAGCGGAGGTGCGGGAACGTCTGCACTTTATGTCATACGTTCCGGTGTGCTTCACATCTGCCCTGCTGCGGCGAGGTATCGGAGGCCTGATGGACACGGCGATGGATCTCTGGGACGAACGCCGACGCATTGTGGCCAACCGCGACCTCCAGTTCATGCTCGCCGACGCGATGTCAGAGCACAACCCTCCTTTGGTCAAGCGAAACAGGGGGGTGCACGCGCGAATCAACCGCATACGCCAAGTCGGGATAAACCCGCCCACATTCCTGTTCACCGTCAACAGTCCCAGGTTGATACACTACACCTATAAGCGCTACCTTGAGAACCGCATCCGGGATGCCTTTGGCTTTGACCGCACTCATCTGAGGCTGGTATTTCGCAGAGAATGAAGCAGCTTCCCACTTCGCTGATTATCCAGATCACGGCGATCCCCCTGCTTGCGGCTGCCGGTGCATTGGGGGCCCTATACCTGACAGATGTTCCCTCGGCATGGCAATACGTTGCAGTGGTTGCCTTTGCCCTACCTTACGGGTTCGCTGTCCTGGGGATACATGCTGCTGCGCTGGCGGTTGGGCATGGACGTCCGGGACTTTGGCAGTGGCCGCACCGGGATGTCCAACGTACTCCCGCACGGGCGGTGGCAAAGCGGCCGCCGTAGTGCTGGCACTGGACGTTGGCAAGGGCGTAGTTGTGGTCATTTTTGCCCGTGAGCTTGTTGGAACACACGTAGGAGAGGTTGTGGCCGCGCTGATTGCGCTGGTGGGTCACAACTGGCCGGTGTTCCTCGGGTTCCGGGGTGGCCGGGGAATTCTCACCGCTCTGGGCGGGCTGTCGATGATGACCCCCGTGCCCGCTGTGGTGGCAACGGTTATCTTCCTGTTGACTGTCTTCGGAAGCCGCTACATTTCGCTGGGGTCTATCGTTGGCGTGCTCGCGGGCGCGGCCACTCTCATCGGGCTGGCGCTGGTTGGCTGGTATTCGAGCACATACATACTCTTCGCCGGTGTCGCTGCCATCATGATCATCTGGCAGCACCGCGACAACATCCAGCGCCTAATTCACGGCAAAGAACGGCGTATGGGCGCTCCGGCCACTCCGCTGGAATAACTTTCACGTCTATCGTTCCCTTCATTCCGGCCACATTCCGGCCAGCTTATTGGTATGCTCTCCTTTGCATTCTCCCTTGCGGCGGGTATCTTTGACTAACCGAGTGGTCGTGGTCGGGGACGACAACGTGGGGTACTACGTTGGGCTTGGTTATGGCCGGCGAGGGGACTCCTGTTACGCTGCTGACCCGCAACGCAGCTGAAACGGAAAGCCTGCAGTTGGCCCGCGAGAATTCCCGGTTCCTTCCCGGCATCAAGTTCCCAGATACACTGGGAGTTGCCGACGACCCGTCCCAAGCGCTGGCTGACGCCGCAATGGTTGTGATCGCTGTGCCATCAGACCGGCTGCGGGAGAATGCGCGCCGTATTGCAGCCCACTTGGCCCCGGGAACAGTGGTCGTCAACGCGACGAAGGGCCTGGAGCTGCCCACCGCCCTGCGCATGAGCCAGGTGCTGGCGGAAGAATTGCCTGCCTCCGTGCGATGCCGTATCTGCTCCCTTTCCGGGCCCAATCTTGCCAAGGAAATTGCTCAGGGTAAGCTGGCAACTACCGTTGTGGCATCGGACTATCAGGATGCAGCGGAGCAGGCGCAGTCAGCCCTGCTGTCCAGCCGCTTCCGCGTATACACCAGCGACGACCTGGTCGGTGTGGAGTTGGGGGGCGCGCTGAAGAACATTGTGGCCCTTGGGGCGGGCATCTGCGACGGCCTGCATTTCGGGGACAACGCAAAGGCCGCATTTGTAACACGTGGACTGGCCGAGATCGCTCGGCTGGGAGTTGCAGCCGGGGCGCAGCCACTGACCTTTGCAGGGCTGGCTGGCCTTGGCGACGTCATAGCCACCTGCGCCAGCCGCCTGAGTCGCAATCGCTACGTAGGGGAGCAACTGGCTTTAGGGAGCTCGTGGCCGCAGATCCGTGCCTCCATGGACAATGTGGCCGAAGGAGTAAATGCCGCGGAGGCGGCGCTCAAGCTGGCCCGGCAATTCGACGTGGAAATGCCCATTACGGAGACGACTTTCCGCATACTGCACGAGGGCCTCTCCCCTCGCGAGGCAGCGACAGAGCTCATGCAGCGTCCCGTCGGCAGCGAGTGGTAGAGGGTCAGCGCAGCCGTCCCAGTGAAAGACTGGGCACCCGCTCCAGCACCCATGCAGCAGCGGAGCGACGGTGGCAGGGAGTGCCGTCGGGCTCGAAACACAGGAGGGTGAAGTGTCCGCCTTCCGGCAGCTGTTCCACGAAAAGCCTGAACTCCTCGTTTCGCTCGTACGTTTTGTCCAGTTCTTCCCGGTAACGAATATCCAGGGTAGGGAAGTCCAGATCGCCTTGGCGGTATTCAGTCAGCAGGGCGCGAGATGGGTAAAGCGCAGGCTGCACCTCCCACTCCGTGCGCCTTCCCCGAGGGTGTGCCCGCGAAATCCGGTAGCGGACTCCTACCCAGTGCCGAGGCTCGTAAAAGCTGGCAGTGTAGAGCATCGTCATTTTTGACAGCGCCCCGATTGAGCGGATTGTTATCCAGGACTTGACTCGTGCAGGCCGTTCGGCTTTACAGCCTGGCGCTGACGAAACACAGGCCTGACAGCAAAGATCAGCGCGCCCACTATAATCACGCTGATGTAAGTGATGAAGCGATCAACGAGTACCAGCGCAGTCGCGGTCTCCTTGGCAAGTGATGCCAGGCGCACTGCAAGGCCCGCCACACCCGACTCGACCGCCCCAACTCCGCCTGGCGTGGGCACCAGCGACAGCAGAGAGTTGGCCAGCGTCAGAAAAATGATGAGGGCCGGGTTCAAGTCTAATCCCAGTGCTAATGCCACAAGGTGCATGCGAGCGACCTCGGCCATCCACCCCAACACCCCCAGAACCGTGGTTTGCGGCAAACTACAAAGACTTCCCATAGCTCCGGCGTGGAACCGCTCGTAACGCGCCCCCAGCCAACTCGGCAGCCGACGCAGCAGCGGGTCACGGGCCCACACCATCGCAACCAGCAGAGCCATCAACACTGCTGCCAAGCCCAGTGCCACCAGCAGTACGGTCCAGATCCCTGCGCCGCTCCCTGAGCCGACCAGGAAGGGAACGGTTACCACCAGCATTAATGCGACAAGGGCTACATCCAGCACCCTTTCCGCCAAGATAGTGCCTATGGCTCCGGAGAAGGAGTCGCCATTTTCGTCCTGGTATAGATAGGCGCGGAAGGCGTCCCCAAGGCGAAGCCAGCCAATGGAGTTTACGAACCATCCCAGCAGCACCAGTTGGCTGCAGTAAAGCACGCTGGGAACGGAGGCCCCAGTCTCGCCCGTCTCTGTTGAGTGCCGCAACAGTATCCGCCACCGCGCACCGCGAAACAGAAAGGTCGTGTAGTGGACAGCAAATGCTGCCACCAAGAGCCAAGGATTTGCGGAGCGGACCTGACTCCATGTGGAATCAAGATCGACATCGAATCTGGTGACCAGGAACAAGAGGAATGCTCCGGCCACAATGAGAGACACCAAAGCCGGGAGGGAGAAAACCCTACGACGCATAGAGTCGAATCGGGGCTGCACTTCAGTAACGGATACGGGTTCAGCGTCCCCTTTGTGACCACCGCCCAATTCCATCAGCGGAGGAGCCCTGCCACTGCGAACACCAAATGTTCAGCCCGGTAACGCCGGGCCATTACTAGCGCAGTTCCTGGGGCATAGTGAACGAGACGTCTTCTTCAACACCACTGAGCATTATTACCCGCTCGGGAGCGAGGGCCTCGATGACACTCTCCACCAGCACTTCCGGCGTTGAGGCGCCAGAAGTCACGCCGACCTTCTCTTTGCCTTCCATCCACTCCGGATCGATTTCCTCGGGTCCGTTGATCAGATAAGCCGGCACACCCTGCGCGGCGGCCACTTCCCGCAGCCGGTTGCAGTTGGAGCTGTTCTGGGCCCCAATGACCAGCACCAAATCCACGCTGTGCGCCATCTTGGTCACCGCCTCCTGGCGGTTGGTGGTGGCGTAGCAGATGTCGTTGCGCACCAGTGCTTGCGGAAAGCGAGCCTTGATGGAGTCGATGGCGTATGCGGTGTCGCGAACCGAGAGAGTTGTTTGCGTCAGAACGGCAATCTCCTCGCCGTCACCCCACTCGGGCAGTTCGCTTGGCACGTTGTCGTCTACCAGTGTCATCTCCACCTGGCCCATCGTGCCGCGCACCTCCTGGTGGCCCCTGTGTCCCACAAGGAGAACCCGACGGCCCTCGCGGCTGTACTTCTTGGCTTCGTTGTGGACGCGGGTGACCAAGGGACAAACGGCGTCGATGACCCGAAGGTTGCGGGCTTTGGCCTTTTCAAAGTCCTCAGGGGGCGAGCCGTGAGCTGAGAAAACCACCAGTGATCCCTCGGGCACCTCATCCACCTCTTCCACGGTAATGGCGCCGCGGGACTCCAGGTCATTGACTACGTACGGGTTGTGGACAATCTGGTGCTTAACGTAGACCGGCGGGCCGTAGCGTCGCAGGCAGACATCAACCACGTCGATGGCCCGCACCACTCCAGCGCAGAACCCTCGGGGCGAACTGAGCAGAACCTCCAAACCGTCCCTCCCTGATCAGAAACCAAGTGTCAATTGCATGCAGACGGGGTTGACACCAGCGGCAGCCGATGCGGCCCCTAATATAATAGCACAGCAAGCCGTTTTCCAGTCTCAATGGCCGCCCATCGTGGCTGGCCTCTGTGCTATACTTCAGCGGCAATTTTCGCCTCTGCCGGCCGTTTTCCGCAGCAACGGCTCTCGCGCACAGACGGCCCTTCCGGTACAGCAATCCCCGCTTTCCAGGAGGCCCCGAATGGTCAGCATTCACGACGACCTGGTGGTGTTTTCAGGCAATTCCCACCCCGAGCTGACCCGTTCCGTCTGCGAATACCTCGGGAACGCAGTGGGGCAGGCCGAGGTCTTCAAGTTCGCCAACGACAACACCTTCGTGCGTATCCTGGAAAACGTGCGGCAGCGCGACGTTTTCATAGTCCAGCCCACCTGCGCTCCTGTCAACGACAACATCATGGAGCTGCTGATAATGATCGACGCCTGCAAGCGGGCGTCGGCCGGGCGCATCACCGCCGTGATGCCCTACTACGGATACGGACGCACCGACAAGAAAGACCAACCGCGGGTGCCCATCACTGCCCGGCTGGTGGCCGACCTTCTGACCGCTGCCGGAGCCGACCGGGTACTCACCGTAGACCTGCACGCTCCCCAAGTCCAGGGCTTCTTCAACATGCCGGTGGACGAACTGACCGCAGTCCCCATCTCTGACGCAGTATTTCGCCGACAAGGGAATTGATGACCTGGTGGTGGTGGCCGTGGACATCGGCATCAGCAAGAAGGCCCGCGACGTTGCTGAGCGGCTTTCGGCCCCTCTCGCCATTATCGAAAAGCGGCGCACCGACAACAGCGGGGAGAGCGAGCTTATGAACGTTATCGGTGAGGTGGAAGGCAAGGTGGCTTTGACCTTCGATGACGAAATCGATACTGGTGGCACGGTGGTTAACGCCGCCAAGGCCCTGCTGGACCACGGCGTCAAGGAGGTGTACTGCTGCGCCTCCCACCCGGTTCTGTCGCGCAACGCGCCGGAGACCATGGCGCAAAGTCCATTCACCGAGATCGTGGTGACTGACACCATCCCCATCAGCCCGGATAAGCGCAACGGCAAGATTACCGTGCTGTCGGTGGCCCCCCTTCTCGGAGAGGCAATTTACCGCATCCACTACGGCCAATCCGTCGGAGAGTTGTTCAACACCTGACGGGGCTGGAAATCAGCTACAGGAGCGCACAACCGTGCGCACGGTCCCAGGGAATTTCCGGGAACTCTAGGAGCGAACGACGATGTACGACCTGCTGATTAAAGGCGGAACCGTGGTTGACCCGTCCCAGAACCTTCACGGTGTCAATGACGTCGCCATAGAGGACGGCAAAATTGCCCTCATCGCCCTGGCCATCGACGCCGCCGAGGCCGCGCAGGTGGTGGAGGTCAAGGGCAAGGTGGTGACACCCGGCCTGATCGACCTGCACACCCACGTTTTCGCCGGGGTCAACGCCAGCGGTGTGGACGCCAACATCGGCGGCGTGCGCGCCGGGGTTACTCACGATGGTAGACGCCGGCAGCTCCGGTTGCGACACCTTCGGCGGCTTCCCCCGCCACATCCTGCCCAACAGCGACACCGAGATCATCTGCTTCCTTCACATCTGCCGCACCGGATTGGCTACCACGCCCGACATATTCAGCCCGTCCAGCATTGACCTGGACCACACCGTCGAGACCATCATCGCCAACAAGGGCATCATCTCCGGCGTCAAAGCGCGAATGGTCTCACCGGCCCTGGAGATCATGGGATGGAAATGCCCCGCATGGCCAAGCGCGCTGCCAAGGAGGCAGGTGTCCGCCTGATGGTGCACATCGGCGACACTGAAAAGCGTTACGACGCCAACGTAATCCGAGAGCTGCTGCCCATCCTGGAGGAGGGCGACATCGTCACCCACTACTTCACGGCCAACCCCGGCGGGGTGCTGGACGCCGATGGCAAGCTGGTGCCCGAGGCCCGGGAGGCCCACGAGCGGGGCGTGTGGCTGGACACGGCCCACGGGCGGATGAACTTCAGCTTCAACGTGGGCGAGCGGGTGATCGACCAAGGCGTACTGCCCCACTGCATCAGCACCGACCTGACCTTGCCGGGACGCGCCCGCACGGTGCACAGCATGACCGAGATGATGACTCGATTCCTGACGATGGGTTTCACCTTCGACCAGGTAGTGACAATGTGCACCGAAAACCCGGCGAAGGCCGTGGGCGTGGAAGACCGCCTCGGAACTCTGCACACTGGCAAGCAGGCTGACCTCTCCATCCTCGATATCCGGAGCGGCGACTGGGTGGTGTACGACGTCCTCGGCGACTCCCGCAAATCGGACAAGGCGGTGACGCCGGTAATGTCGGTCAAGAAAGGCCAGGTCTTCGAGGCCGCCTGGGGGCCGAGGCCGTGGGGCTGGGAGCCAGACTCGGCGTAGGGGCAGTGGATGGGACTAGCGATGCCACCCTTAGGCCTGCTACTTGAAAGCGATGCCCTAGCTCAATTGTTTGGGCGTCCCTTTTTTCTTCCGCAGCATCCGCGTCAAGGGCCGTAGCTTGGCCTTTAAGCTGAAGCGGCGGCGGACGTTGTTGGCGATCAGGGGGGCGAGGTGGTGGTTGCCGGCGACCAAGGGGGCCACCCATGCACGCAGTTCCTTCATTGTGGGGGTCTTCTCGTCCCAAGAGGGGACGAAGCTTTCGATGGGGTGCCACTGGCGCTCGCCTCGAAAGCGGGTCATCACGGTGCCACCGGCTTCCTGCACCGCCAGCACTCCGCCTGCCATGTCCCACATGCGAGGGGCGCCAAAGACACCATACTGCATCACCCCGCGGGCGGTCATCGCCAGTTCATAGGCGATGCTGCCGGTGGTGCGCAACTCGCCTGCCTTGTTGGCCAGCCCGCCGGTGAACCGGTTTGCGACGCCGAAGTATCCGGGAAGGCCGATCAGGCGATTGGGGATGGGTTGCTCCGTATCCAGCACCTTGACCGGCTCGTCATCGGCCCCTGTGCCCGCAGTCAGCGGCGCGATCTTAGTGCCGCCTCCTTTGCGGCAGTGCAGGATCAACCCCCCACCATCTGCAGGCCACGGAATGTACAGGGCTGCCGCCACTGGCCTGCCGCGGTGGATCACGCCGATGGATGAGGCAAACACCGGTAGTCCATTGAGGAAGTTGGTCGTGCCATCAAGGGGGTCCAGTACCCAGAGGGTTTCGCGGGCCGGCTCCTCGGACTGCTTTTCCTCCTCCGTTGCTTCCTCGCCGAGGACGCCGTGGTCAGGGAAGTGTCGAAGGATCTCAGCAGTGAGATATGCCTGGGCCTCTTTGTCGGCGGCGGTCACCGGGTCGCGTTGCTTGTCGTCCTTGAACTCGACCTCGATGCGGCGCCCGAAGTGGCCCGCCAGGATGCCCCCGGCGCCGCGGGCAAACTTGACCGCTTGAAGCTCTATTTCGAGTATTAGCGCGTCATCAAGGGACTGAACCATCACCCCTCCGGACGTGTTCTGGGACTGTTGCGGGCTCTTGGGTCGCGAACCATCGGAGCAAGGCAAGCGTAGAGCAGAGGCGTCGGACGGTCAACCGGCGGGTGTCTGTGACTGTGACCGGCTGGTATAATCCGGCGAGTTGAGCCAAAATGGCCGTCCCACGAAGGGGACGACGAGGACATCAGTATGGACCTGGGGTTGAAAGACAAGGTGGCGATCATCGGCGGTGCCAGCAAGGGCCTGGGCCGGGCCTGTGCGCAGGTGCTGGCCGAGGAGGGGGCGAAGGTCGTCATCTGCAGCCGCACTGCCGCGGATCTGGAGCAGGCGGCCGATGAGATCCGGGAGTCGACGGGAGCCGATGTACTGGCATATCCAGCCGATCTGGACAGGCTGGAGAGCATCAACGGCCTGATCGCAGCGGCGCTGGAACAGTTCGGCGGCATCGACATCCTGGTAAACAACTCCGGCGGGCCGCCGCTGGCGCGATCGGCCACCGCCACCGAGGAACAGTGGGAGACAGCCGTACAGCGGTCGCTCATCTTTTTTGGGCGGATGTGCCGCGAGGGCATCCCGCATCTCAAGCAGCGCGGCGGCGGTCGCATCATCAACATCCTCGCCAGCACGGTCTATAACCCCATTCCCAACCTGGCACTGTCGGGCGCGACGCGAATGGGAGTAGTCGCCTACTCCAAGAGCCTTGCCGACGAGGTGGGACGCGATGGCATCCTGGTGAACAACGTGTGTGCCCCGGCTCCATCCTGAGCGAACGAATGCTGTCCAATGTTACCTCCCGCGCCAACGAGCTGGGCATCAGCGTGGATGAGGCGCTGGCTTTGCGCGCAGCCGACACGGCTGTGGGCCGCGTCGGTCAGCCGGTGGAGCTGGCGAACCTGGTGGCCTTCCTGGCCTCGGACCGATCAACGTACATCACAGGCACTACGATACTGGTGGACGGCGGTCTGGTCCGGTCGGTGATGTAGAACGGGCTGATCCGGTAGTCATGGTGTTTCAGCGCAGACAGGCGGAGGAGCCTACGGACGCGGCGGGTTTCCTGGAGCGTGGCAGTCGCTATGGGCGCAACGGGGTGTATCACCGCGCCATCCAGGACTTTACTACCTCCATCGAGATGGAACCCGAGATTGCGGAGACCTGGTACAACCGGGGCTGCTCGTGGTACGAGGTTGGGGAATTCGAGAAGTCCATCGCCGACTTGACCCGCGCCATCGAACTGGCTCCAACCATCGGCCTCTACTATGGGCAGCGCTCGCTGGTCTATTTTTTCAACGACCAAGTGGAACTGGCCGAGGCCGATCAGGAGCGTTGCGACGAGTTCAGGTTTGGCGCGGAGTAATAAGTTACTTCAGCGATCATTGGACGCCACTGCACACGAACACCCACAGCAATCCGAAGAGAATAACCAAGGTCGGCACCAAGAGTACGCAACCAAACCCGCAACCTACCCTCCTAAATCCGTGTCTTTCCCATGCAGGTCGAGTCCTCTCGTCCGCATCCTCGGGGAATATGGTCCCCTACGCTGCGGGCTTGAAGTAGGGGATGCTTATCTGGTCGGTGGCTCGCTCGAAGGTTACCTCTACGGGCATTCCTATGGCTACTTCGCCGGGGTCGCAGCCCACTATATTGGTGAACATGCGGACGCCCTCCTCGAGCTCGACGAGGGCCAGGACGTAGGGGCCCTGATCGAAGCCGGTGGTGCGGTTCTGGTAGGTGACGGTGTAGGTCCAGACGGTGCCCTTGCCAGTGGACTGCACCCATGTCGGGTTCTCGGACCAACAGTGGGAGCAGATGCCCCGGGGATAGAACTGGTACTCGTCGCACTTGTCGCAGTGCTGGATCAGTAGCTGACCACGGCGACAGGCATCCCAGTAGGCGCGGGTCTCGCCGACCACGGTCGGCAGCGGCTTGTTCCATTCCGGCATGACTAGTCCCTCCCCAAAATGACGGTGCCGCCGCTGTGGCGGGAGCCGAGGGCGCCGCCGGTACCGTGGCACAGGGCTATCTTGCAGTCGGGCACCTGGCGCGGCGTGCCCTCGAACTGGTGGCGAAGCTGTCGGGTGGCCTCCATTAGCAGGAAGATGCCGCGCATCCCCGGGTGATTGGAGGATAGGCCACCACCGTCGGTGTTGATGGCAGCTTGCCGCGATCTTGAGTGCGCGCGCCGCTGACGAACTGGCCGCCTTCGACCTTCTCGCAGAAGCGAGTCCTCCAGCGTCTCCAGCACGGGTGATGGTGAGAGTCGTAGATCATGGCCATGTCGATGTCGTCGTGGGTTACTCCGGCGCCAGCGAAGGCGGGCTCGTGGCTCTGCTTGGCGGCGATGTAGATGAGGTCGCGCTTGCCGGCGCCCTGGTGGGCCACGGCTTCGCCGGTACCCAGCACCCAGACGGGCGTTTGGCGGCAGTTTCGGGCGACCTCGGGAGATGCGACCACCACAGCGCCGCCGCCGTCGGTTATGACGCAGCAATCGTTTATGTGCAGCGGCGACGAGATAACGCGGGAGCGCATCACGTCCTCGACGGTAATCTCGTCGCGGAACAGGGCCTCGGGGTTCATGGAGGCGTGGTGGCGTACGGCCACGGCGATCTCAGCGAGCTGCTCCGGGGTGGTGCCGAACTGGTGCATGTGCCGCTGGGCGATCATGGCGTAGAGGCCCACGGTTGTCAGGCCGTAGAGCTCCTCAAAGCTGTCGGGAGACGGATCAAGGCGAGGGTGTCCGAAACGCCCAACGCCACCGGTGCCCACAGAGACGCCACCGGAGCGGGCCAGCGTCGCGTAGGTGATGACGGCAACATTGATGCGACCGGCGTGGATGGCGTTCAGCGCGTGGGCGAGGTGGAACTCGAAGGAGCCGCCGCCGACGGTGGTGTTGTCGACGTGCTTGGGGTACATGTTCAGGTAATCGGCGAGATTCAGGCCGCTGTTGCGCACCGACATGGACGCGGTAAACAGGCCGTCGACATCCTTCTTGGACAGTCCGGCGTCCTCGAGGGCCTTGATGATGCTCTCGCCCTGGATCTGGAGTTCGCTCTTGTCCGGAGCGTAGCGGGTCTGATGTTCGTGGACGCCGACAATAGCGGCCGCCCGTCTGAGGTCAACCATGGGCAGGATACCTCCGGGTTGGTTGGGGTGAGACTGCCGGTCTCAAAAGGCGAAATCATTATCACCGAGGCGGTTCGTCAAAACAAGGCGGGGACGGTTGCGGGCCGAGACTATTGCATTTGGAATCAGCCCATCCCGTCATAGCAGCGAAAGCCGTTGGCCCGCGGCACCGACCCCGCCATTCAAATGCGATAGCCCTAGGTACGAAGCCCGCCTTTTTCGGGTGCCGAGTTCAAACTTCTGGACCGGGGTTTTCCACTGCGGGGCGGGCTCCTGCTACCGACGATCGTAGGGGATGAGTGTCTCATCGCTACAAGCTGATTTCCTGTTTTCTTAAAAAGTGTCTCACTTCGCTCTCTGTCGTCTGGTTTCTCTGGGGTGGGGTCTTCGCTATTGTGAGGCGGTCTGCCAGCAGCCTAGCCCATCGAGATGGGGTGTCTCATCCCAAAGCTGATTTTTAAAAAAAGTGTCTCATTCTGTCTCGTTTTGGGGTGGGGTTGGGCACAAGCCAGTTTCAGCGTTTTCATTCAGGATCGCTCCCCAGGAATGGGAAAGGTGAGAGCGGGTGGCTCTCCGGCACGCCAGAAGGGCATGTTTCCCGATCCGACGGCGTGCGCTTCGATACCTTCGCGCGGGGATGGAGCGCCGCCGGACTCGGCGGGCATTTGACTCTCTGCAGGAACACATATTTCCATAGTCATATTTGTTCTATATATCAAGCCAAGGGATGCAGTGCGCAGTTGGCGGGGCCGGGCGGGGAACTTCTGCTGACAGTTGGCCGTTGCGACTGGCAAGCAAGAGGTGTGTGTTGTGTGAGTAGGTTCGTTATCAGGAACTAACGAAACATACGGAGGGGCAATGCTTGCGATCTTGGCGGACCGACGCAGGGCAAGGGCTGGCGTGAGGAGCTGAGGCGCGACGACGAGCTCGAGCCTTGATGCAGTGACACATTGGCGTCACGACAGCACGGAGCGGGTGCCAGCAGCCGCAGCCGAGCTGGCCGAGGGCGCTCCGGGGGCCAACATCGCACGGGTTACAACGACCAACGCCGGGGTCGGCCGCGTGCGGGCGACGTGGTGTGTGTTCTCGCATTTCCCTACGAGGGTCAGCGCCCGGTGCTGAGGACTGTCAGCCACTGGACGTGCAAGATCGTGTGAGTGTCATCGGCCCGCTGTCTTCGCGCGGGCAAGGGAGCACGGGCTGTCGAGGAGGCAGGTCTGCCGCCCAGGAGCGCGCAGATCCTGCCCAGATGCGCAGGTGGTCGCGCCTGCCAGAACGTGAGCGCCGAGGAACTGCAGGACCGCAAGTGGACATGGAGGCGGGAACGTGGTGTCTGCTCGGACCACGCCGACGCCAAGAAACTGGTGATCGGCCTGGCGGGCAAGATCAAGAGCCTGCGGGCGTCACGTGGGGGCGCGCTGCCACGCCAAGTACGTGGAGCAGATCACCCCGCTGCTGGTCAACATCAACCGCATCTACCGGACGCATTCGGCGTCAAGATCACCGGCGTGCTAGCACTACAAAGCCAACCGTTCGGCTATTCGAAGGAATGCAGGGCGAACGGCCTCACCGAATTAAGCAGCAAACAACCAGAGAGAGAATATGCGCGATTCCCCATTGACATCAACCGCGCCGATGGACAGCGGCGGTCAGGACAATGGAAGGATGCGTGGCTAGTCCGGGCGAGGCCACTATGCTCGCCAATCGTTCCGCGGGGAGCGCAGTGTCGCCTGCCGGACTACGATGACTCTCGTGGGAGGTCTGCGGCGATACAGCGCGTGGGCGAGGTCGGCGGCGACTACGTCACGGGTTCGCCTGTGTTGTCTGGTGGTCAGCATGACGATCACCATGACGGACAACCGCGGTGGACGCGATCGAGCCGCACAAAGATGATGTTCGAGACGTGCGTTGACGACCGACGGCGAGATCTGGGTCAACGGCGAGTGCAACCGGGAGGCCCTCGCGCACGGTCGAAGGCTTCAACCGACCCCAACGTGTCGAGGTCGCCAACAACCCAATCCGCGACCAGCACACCAGCGCATACTGGCGCCACGGCCCACATGGCGCGCCGGTGGCGGCGTGTTCGTCCGGTACACCCACCTCAGCGTCGAGTGCGCGACACGACGATCCGTAGTCCGGTCCGCAGTCCTGTCGGATGTCCGCAAGGGATGGGGTGGGTAATTAAATGCCCGGCTGCAGATTTGTTCACGCCGCCGACCTGCACCTGGACAGCCCGTTTCGCGGCATTCGCAGCGAGGCGCCTCTGACGTCGCGGATGCGCTCCACGGGCCACCTTTGAGGCATACGACAACATCGTTGAGCTGTGCTCAGGGAGGAGTGGACGCGCTGCTGGGGATGGCGTGCGATGTCTATGACGGGCGCCGATGCGCAGCCTGCGGGCGCAGTTGCGTCGGTCGTCGACGGCTGAACCGGCTGGCAACTGCGGGACATACGTTCGTTCGTCTGCCACGGAACCATGACCGCTGGCCGCTGGAGGCGCGGCGGGTCCTACCGCTGGCTGCGTGCGTTCGGCCTCGAGTTTCCGCAGAGGCGCGTGTTTCCGACCGACCGGAGCGGGCGACTGTTTGCTGTGTCCGCTATCGCCCCTGGGAGGTTCGCGAGAACCTGTCGCCGCTCTTCAGCGCGCGCGTCGAGGGCTACGGAGTGCTGACTCCACGCCACGTGTGAATCCGACCACGACCGTACGCTCCCTGCTCGTGGCGACTTGCTGAGACGGGAATGGCACTACTGGGCACTGGGACATGTTCACTACGAGGCAGTGACTGCGGCAGGAGAGGCCCACGTCGGTGTTGTACCCGGGGAACTCTCAATGGCGCAATCGCGCGGAGACGGAGCGCGGGGTGACCTGGTCGAGGTTGACGACCCAGGCTCGGCCGTACTCGACTTCCGCGCAGTGGATACAGTGCGGTGCAACTGCTGGAGATCGGCGCATTGCCGACGTGGCGCAGAGCAGGAGTTGCGGGACGCCATAGACTACGCCGTGGCCGGCTGCTGTTCCGAGGCATCGGACGGACTGGCCGTGGGTTATCGCCTCCGCTCATGGGGCGCGCCGCTGAACCGCTGCTCGCCGTCGAACAGTGCAGGACCTGCTGGAGCGCATCAACGACGATACTCGAACGGCCGCGGCTGCTGTGGTGTGAACGAGTACGAGCTGGAAACGGCGTCGCAGTGGAAAGCAGAGCAGGGGATCACCGGGAGCAGTAGTTGGAGAAACTGAGGACGGGAAGAGCGAGAAAACAGAAGAAAAAGAGAAAGACTTAATCAGTAATGTGATTCTAGATGCTAAAGGCCTATCGTTTTTCATCTCTTTCTGGCGCTGAGGGCGGCGCTCTAGGGCTGACCCGGGCGAGCGGCGAGTTTGCGGGGCTGCTACGGCCCGCTGTACGGGCGACCCGACGCGCGACTACCTGAGGCAACTGATGCCGGACGACGACGAACTTAGGGACCTGATCGCCCTGGCCGAAGAGGAGTGCCTGTCGGAACTGGTTGACGACGAGGACGAAGGGTGAGGCTGACAGACTATACCTCGACGGATTCGGGCACTTCACGAGAGTCCATTGGTCCCGTCGCCACGCCCGTCACCGTCTTCTACCGGCCCCAACGAAGCGGGCAAAAGCACACTATTGGCGTGATCCGGGCAATCTCTTTGGTTTCCACCTCAGCCCAGGCAGACACTACACCTCCCCTGTCGGGCGGGCGCCACGGAGGTCGGATCGGGCTGGCGACAGACTCGGGCGACGAGAGCTCACCGCTGCGATGGAGAGGTTACGCCTGTCGTCTTAGCTCACAGCGCGTCGTAGGGCACGGCGGAACCTCCCAGTCTTGGCGACCAACTGGGCGAGACGCTAGGACGACGGACGTAAGTCGGGGCAATGAATCGACGCGACCGCTAAGAATGCTGATATCGTGTCCACGAGTAAGAAAGACCGAAAAACACAGCACAACAACTGACGAACCGCCCTACCATGTATATCCGGGCAAGCGTGTCTTGTGCGCATTCAGCACCTCGATAGAACTGCACCAAGTGAACGAGGGGACTGATGACACGTATCGGGGCTCGCAGAGCAAGAGACAGATATACGGTAAGGATCTGGGCTGGGGTATTGACCAGCGGCTGCACAACCTGACTCGCATGTCTCAACAAGCACCTGAACAAAGGCAATGGCGCGACCTGTTCCTGCCACGGGCCAGCAGACAGGACCAAAATGCGCCGAGATCTGTCTGACGCGGAATAGTGGAGGGTCGACGGGCAGCTGCGTGATCATCGAGGACAAGGAAAACGCGTCCATTTCCGGGAGTCTGACAGCCGCAATCCGAAATCAGACTCGGAAAGACTGAGGGGCTGCCGAACGCAGAAATGCGCCCGTCACGAAACTTTGCATCAGCGAGGACGGAGGCTGTTGGACGCGGCTGCTGTAAAACCGAGACGCTGGATAAACGACAGAACTGCTGGCGGCGCTTTCTGGGCCTAAGACGCCGACGCGAAATGCTGCAGGGAGGGATTTGCCCCGAGATAGCGAAAGGACTCCCAGACGACTAACGCGTCCCTCAACCGGCATCGAAAGCCTCAGAGGAGCGTGGCGAGGGCAGTCAAGCGAGAGGATTTGGCGTCGGGCGGAGCACAAGGCTTCACGATGCATCGCTCAACGTAAGGAAAGTGCCGCATCCGCCACTGCTAAAGGGGTCCACATACGAAGACTGCTTTCCGACACGGAACGCAAGATAGAGACAATTCGCAGGGGTGGTCGCGGCGGCTCTCGAGTGACTCGGTGAAAGCCTGACCAGAACGCAGGGCAGAGCTGGGTGCACTCTCGAGTCGACGCTGCATCAGAGACACGGCTCCGGACATCGCGGGTCCCCTGATGCGGACGACAACGTAGCAACTCAGGTGACAAGTGCGTACACACTCAGATAGGCCCTGCACGCAGGACTACAGTGAGAGATCGTGCAAGGAATCGCACTGTGTCAGAGCACCAGCACGTAGACACCCTACGCCGGTCGGAACAGCGGCTGGAACAGGAGCAAAGGACTCTCGCGGACTGCCAGGCCGCCGCCAAGGAGGCGCAGGACCGCGTGCCTGCATCACCGCCGCCGCTGGACGCCAACGCGCTGGAAAGGCGGCGAGCGGCGCTTCGTAACGCTCGCGGCAGGCTGAACGAATACGAACGGGCCCGCCAGAGCCGCGAGACGCTGGTGGGTCAACTGAATGCCCTGATCGCCGGGCACGAGTCAAGCGATGCATCCTCGAGCGGTCAGTCGCTGATTTTACCTGCCGTCCTAGCCGTGCTGGGCGTGGCGATGATCGTGGCTGGCCTTTTCCTGGGCGATTCCGCTCTGTCGTTGGGCATCGTTGGTGGACTGGTGCTGCTGGCCGCGTGCTGGGTACCTGCTGCTCCGCGGTCGTGCTACACCTGCAGCGGCGCCCAACCCGCTGGCGACGGCAGTTTCTCGACAGGTGTCGGATGCGGAGGCGTTGGAGGCATCGGCCTGGCGGCTACTGGTTGAGGCCGCTGCGCCCCTAGGCATCGACGGGGATCCCACAGGCGCAGCGCTGGACAGCACCGAGGCGCGACTGGAAACCCTCAGGACTGCACTTTCGACCTGGAACGATGCCAAGGAGAAGGTCGATGAGGCCAAACGGCGTCTTGAGGAGCAGGAGCGAAGGGTGGAGGCTGCGGCCGCTTCGCTCACTGACGCGAACAAATCCAGGGAAGCAGCCCGCAGCAACTGGGTGGAGTGGCTGGGACAACACGGACTTCCCACCAGCTTCACGCCGGACACCGTTGTGGAGTTCCTAGGCCACGTCGAAACCACGCGAGTAAAGATGGAGCAGGTCGGGGACAACCGGAGGAGAGTATCGGCAATCGAATTCGACATCCGGCAGTTTCGTGAGAGAGTGGAACCGCTGGCCCTTCGACACGACGTGCAGGTGGACTCTGAGGACTCGAGTAAATTGGCGCTAGCCGCAGACGAGCTCATTCGCAGGCTGGACGAGGCGGAGACCGCCTACCACAGCCGCGAGCGAAACAGGGAACAGGCCGAGGAGGACCGGCAACTGCTGGAGGGAAGGAAGCGGCGACTAGAGTCGGCGGAGGAGGATCTGTCCGCGCTGCTTACGGCAGGAGGGACGGATGACACCGAGGAGTTCCGTCGCCGGGCGCGACTCGACGAGGAGCGAGGGGGCGCTTGAGCGACAACGTGACGAGCACCGTCGCAGCCTGGAACGCCTCAGCGGTCCGGGGAGCGGTACGATGCGTTCCGCAAGGAGCTGAAGGCAGCCGAACCTGACCAGTTGAGGGACGATTCGGCCCGGCTGTGGGAATTCCAGGGCGAGATTGCTGCTCAGCGAGACTCGCTGCGAGAGGAGCGGGGTGGTATCGATGCAGAACTTGCTCGCCTGACCGGTGAGGAGGAATCGTCGGCGTTGCGAGTGCGTCGAAACACGCTGGTTGAGCAACTGCAGGAACACGCGCGGGAATGGTCAAGGCTGACCATTGCCGAGGCGCTGCTAGAGAAAACCAGACAGAAGTTCGAGCGGGAAAGGCAGCCGAGCGTCGTACAGCATGCCCAGGACTTCTTTTACAGGGTAACCGGCCAGCGATACAGCCGCCTGTTTTCTCCGGTGGGAGAACAGAGTGGGCAGCAGACGATAACGGTGATTGATGATTCCGGGGCGAGCAAACAGCCCCACGAACTCAGCCGCGGAACCCGGGAGCAGTTGTACCTCGCGCTGCGGTTCGGGCTGATCAGGGAGTTCGGGGAGCACGCAGAGCGTCTGCCGGTGGTCGTCGATGAGGCGCTGGTGAATTTCGACCCGGAGCGGGCGCGACTGGCAGCAGAGGCCTTTGCCGAACTGGCAGGAACGAACCAAGTGTTGGTATTCACGTGCCACCCGGCGACAGCCGACATGTTCGCGCAAGCCGCGGGCGCGCAAGTGGTGGACATCAGCCACTAGAGGCAAGCGCGTATTTGCCAGACTGCGGCCGCACCTCCTCCGATATGCTCAGGATGCGCGGCCCGCAATCCGGTACTGGGTCGTGTTGCGACGTTAAGCGGTCAACGGATACCAAGCGCCGGGAACCGCTGCTTCTGCTAGTCCTCGGGGGGCCACTTGGTGCCGCCGACCGTGGGTCGCTCAGCGGGCGGGGCCTTA